GATCCGTGGGTCGAGAAGGATCGACGGAGCGCATAGGCGAAGCACGAGCGTCGGAGGAGGACGAAGGGAGAGAGGGAGAGAGAGAGAGAGGCGCGCGCGCGGGACGAGGGTCTGTCCTCTCGGAACCTTCTTTTTCTCCATGGTGTTCTTCTCCTCCTCGGCTCTGAAGAGGCTTAAGGATCCTCGGGATTCGGGTCCTCGCTTTATGGCCTCGGACACGACGCTGGCTGGCTGGCTGGCTGGCCGGCCGGCCGTCCTCGAGCGCGCGTTTCTAATCACGTCGAAATAAGCCCGGCGCGTAAACGAAAGCTTCGACGAAAGCGCCGAGGCGCGCTCGCGCTGCAATGGGCAATCCCGAAGGAACCTAACCCGCCGCCAACTCGTGTCCCCCGAGACAACCGCAGGAGGCAGGCTCCTCTCCGGTTCCTCTCGCTCCGCGCGAGGTCGATCGCTCGAGGCCGGGAAGCGCGTCTTCTTCGACGCGGCCGGCGCGGCGAGTGCGCAGATTAGAGCCGCTAGAGTTCGGAAATTTCGGCCCTCGGAATAGTGCGCGCGCGAGGGTGAGGGGGGAAATGTGTGCGCGTGGAAATGACAGCCGGCTCGGCTCTCGGCCGCCCCCATGTTGTCGCGGCGGCGGCGGCGGCGGAGGGGTGCGCGCGGGAATCCGGCCGCCCTCTTCCCCGTCGCCGTGGCTGCATATATCGACCCACTACCCCGGCGGTGGGCGAAGCGGAGTGTGCACGACCCCTGTGTGACTGGCACGCACACGTGAGAGGGAGCAGGATTCCTTAACCCTCGTCGCGCGCGCGGGGGTGAAATTTGACGGATGGGTATAACGGCGAGCGCAGCTCGTTATCCGGCGAGATCGCCTTTCGATCGTTCGCCTGCGCGATCACCTTCCGACGAGGCGCGGAAGAGGGGCAGAGACGGGAGGGAGGGGGGAGAGGGGGAAGAATTATCTGCCGGGGTTCTGTGGAGAAATAGCGACCCCCGCGTGTGTTTCTCTCAGGCTGGCGGAGAGCGGACGAAGAAGTAGGAAGGAGAGAGAAAGAGAGAGAGAGAGAGAGAGAGGAGAGAGAGAGAGAGAGAGAGAGAGAGAGAGAGAGAGAGAGAGAGAGATAATCTTTATCTCGGCAATGCAGGAAGGAACTCGCCGGCGCGGCGCGGCGCGCCGAGTCCGCCGCGCGTCCTTGCGAGCGTTGTTAACAATGACGACCACCAGACGAGTCTTCCTCCCCCTCCCTCCGCGTCCTCACATGCGCAAGTGCGCATCGTTGCCGATGACGATCGCTCGCGTCTCAACTTTCCCAATCGGCGAAGCGACCGACTCGTCGTCCGTCGATCAGACCGTCAGCCGATACCATAATTCGTCCCGATCCAGCGGGGAGGGAAGCGGGAGGATGGGAAGCGTGGGCGAGGAAAGCCGAAGTCGTCAAATTTTTACGAGCACCTGTTCACCATTTTCCCTCGCCTCGCAGAGGGCTCGCGTCGTCAGGTAGATACGCGACTCTCTCGTAGGGCCCCGCTCTCTCGTAGGTACCCTATCGACCTGAAAACCTGTTCTCCCTGCCCTCACCCCCCTTCCGCGGCCTCCGGCCGCTGGCGGGAGCGATGGAAATGAAAAATTAGGCCGCTGTCGGGACCTCGCCTCTCCTTCTCGAGCCCGTCCCGTTCTCTCTCTCTCTCTCTCTCGCTGGGGCTCCGCCGACTTTTTCGTCACCGTCATTTATTTACCGCGCGCTCGCACGCACAGGGTGTTTGTAAAACACCGCGGCACCGGATTTCTACTCGGCTCTCGGGCGCGAGAGAGCGGGTGCGAGGAAAGTTTCCCGGGGAGCAGCGCGCGTCCGAGAGCGCGTCGCCGAAAAGTTACGACGGACTTTCTACTTATTCCCAGCTCCTCCGCGCGGATGTACAGGGTGTTTCATTCAGAGCGGCCGGCGCGTCCGCTGGACGCTCTCGGAGAGAAACCTCGGAGAGGACGCTCGGTTTTATGAAAAGCCTTCGAAAAGCCACACCACCGGCCACTCTCTCTCTCGGCCCTTCCTTCCCCCTCCCCCCCCCCCGACAAACGCGCCGGCGATTAACGCGAGCGACGCGGCCCAAAAGGTGGCTGATCCTCCGAAAGATGCCTCGCGCGATGGAAGTGCGAGTTTATCCACATTCGCCCGGGCCTCATCCAAGGCGAAAATCAGAGAGAGACATAACGCGCGCCGCTGTCTTCAAAATTGTCAATTTCAGCGACTTGTGTGAGCCGCTCGTTTTCAAGCGCTCGGTAGCTTCTGATGCGAGTTAATCGCGAGGATCGATCGATCGGGGCGCGACGCATCTCGGCCACTTTGGCAGCGAGACTCCGATTCGCAGACGCAGACGCATTCGTACGTTGCGTCGGCTACGCGGAAGTCCGTGAAAGAGGGAAGGAAAGAGAGAGAGAGAGAGAGAGAGAGACGCTCGCGATGATGATCACTCGCGGCGAGACTATCGGCGCCAGGCCGCGCGCGCACGCCCTGCGTATTCCGCCGCGGATACGGCGTACGCTTTTGCGGATCGACAGGTTATTGGCGGTTGTCGGTGCACGCGTGGTAACGAGGGCGCGATTCCGAGTATGCGTAAGCGCGCGCGTGCACGCATGAGCGAGCGCGAGCGCGAGCGCGAGGGCGCGTCAAGGATCGCGATTACCTTCGCGGCTGTGTACAAGCGTCTGTGGACGCGGTAACGCTGTTTTTCCCCGGCGAAAATAGCGCGTGCGCGCGCGCGCGCGCGGCAGCATTCATTACTCGCTCTCACTAATCCGCCGTTATTGCGGCGTTATGCCGCACAAAAGCGGCGGGGCGTAGTCCCGGAAATTAATGTCCGCCCCGAACTTTTACCTCGTCCAGACGTAATGAATCCAATTGCGCGCATCGCGCGCTTATTATGTTTCCCTCTTTATCGACGCGAGAGCGCGTTCTTCGTTATTTACCGCCTCCCGCGGCCGGGGGACTCATCGGCCTCGGATTCGGCGGCCGAAACTCCGCCTCGCTTTCCAACGCCACGGCGGCGGCGGCTTCCCGACTTGCCGCCCCGGCCCGATCCTGAACGCTCCTGAAGTGCACTCTTTCATTCCTCCTAGGACGAGCGCCATGTCCGAGGCGCGTTCCAACGGCTCCAGATCGTCCTCGACGTCTCTCTCTCTTTCTCTCTCTCTCTCTCTCTCTCTCTCTCTCTCTCTCTCTCTCTCTCTCTCTCTCTCTCTCTCTCTCGAGACTAGGATATCTTGAGCGTATTCTTTACATGCGAAAAGTCAGGATGCGTGGAGTTACACTTAGATCATTCTTGACCTGTCTGGGTATGGCTATGTACATTTTCATTTCTTTTCATTTCATTTCGTTTTATTTCATTTTATTTAATTTTACTTTCACTCTACCTAATCGCGAGATTTTTGAAATTGATATTAACGAATTCTAAATTCCAACTGTTCTGTATTTTGACTCATGTTTGAATTTGTAAATTCTGTCTATGCGCTTAGAAGGGGACTTGTCCCAGAGCGCTCAATAAATGACGCTTCTCTCTCTCTCTCTCTCTCTCTCTCTCTCTCTCATTCGGTCTCACCGGTAAATGGCGAGATACCGGCCAGTGCGATTTTGGGACAAACGTATCGACTGACAGCGCGTCGATCGCGCACACTCCCGCACACCCTCGGGCGATGCGTCACCCTGTATATCTAAGAGACTACATTATGCTTGCCGACCTGTTGCTACCCTTTCCTATCTCGCACCCTTCCACTGTTCCTTCCGACCTAATCCACCCGCCACTACGAAACGGAGCCTTCCTCCTCTCTCCCTCCGCCGTCTCCTGCTTCTCCTCCCGCTCGCCCCTCTCGCCCACCTTTCTCTCGCGCGCTCCTCCTCGTGTTCCTCCTCGTTCAGCTCATTGAAACCGCTCTATATTCTTCGTTTCGACCTCTCCTCTCTCTGTTTTACTACTCTCCTCCTCCTTCTCCTCCTCCTCCTCCTCCTCCTCCTCCTCCTCCTCCTTCTCCTCCTCCTGCTGCTGCTGCTGCTGCTGCTGCTGCGCTGCGTCGTTTCTCCTTTTCTCCCACCTCGTCAATCTCGATTTCGATCTTCCGCCTCTTCTCTCCACGTCTGCCCCTTCTGCCCGAACCTTTTTTAAGCCCGTCGACCTCTCTCGGAGATGCTAACGATATCACGATAGCGCTCCTCCATCTGACGAACACACCGGACGTCGTATCCGTACGAGAGAGAGAGAGAGAGAGAGCGAGAGCGAGAGCGAGAGAGAGAGAGAGAGACTCTAGCACCAACTAGTACTAGTACCAGACGCGCTAACGGTAGTACGATAACATCGATACTCGTTTCTTTCCGCTTTTCGGCCCGACCAGCTCCAAAGTACGAGCGAGTTCTTGCCGCGCGCATCCCGTCGATACGTGGCAGCGCCGTGTTACTTTCTACCGCGGGCTCTAAACGAAGATTTATAGGCATGCATGGACGTCTATGCCCGCGCGTGTCTACGGGGTGTCCCGAAAGCACCGCCGCCGCGTGCGTGCGTCGACCCGAGAGTCGGAGACGAACGTCGGTCGATCGATCAGCGGGCGACTCTCTCGTTAGCCGGAGTCCATCTATCGAGCGACGATTCGCCGGCGCCGCGCGTAGTCCTTGGCGAGAACGAAAGACCGCGACGGAGGAGGAGGAAGAAGAGCTCTTTCCCCAAGAGAGCCACCTTCGCTCTCCGCCGAGAGCCGGACACGACTGGAGAATATTTCCATTCTGGCGGTGTTTAGCCCCGCGATATCGCGAGAGACCGCGAGCCGGGCGACCGAATTTCCCCCGCGGCAGATTTCCCCCGGGGGGGAAAAGCCCATCTGCCTCGTCGCCGTCGCCGGCGAGCGGAATCCGCGTCGTCGTCGTCGTCGTCGTCGTCGACGCGCGCGCGCTCGCTCGCTCGCGCCGAAGCTGAAATTGAGATTAATGCCGTGTGTTTTTTTTCCGATACTCTGATTGCAGCCTCGGGAGGGGGTGGTTCGATGTTGGTCCCTCCCGTGGCCCAAAGTGCGACCGGGGACCGTCCCGTGGGGGACACGGTGGCACGGGCCCAGCAGACGACCGGCCCTGCCGCTACGACGACCCTATGGCCTTTAGCACCTGCGCAGCCCAATCAGGTTCCCAATCAGCAGACCCAGGCCATACCGTCCCTGGCCGCTACGCCTGCGCCCGCTCACAATCAAGGTTCGCATTACGTTATATCAATCGTTATTATTATCCCGCCGGCGTAACGATCGCCGCGCGCGCGCGCGCGCGCGCGCCGGAGGAGAGACTCGAGAGCCCCTTGCATCCTGAATATTCTTCCTTACGGATATGTCGGCGGCTAGGGAGCGTCCGCCTGCTTTTTTCCAGCCGGAGTGCGCGAAGAGCGTGAGGAAACCCGGCGGGAGAATTCACCCCAAAGTGTCCTCCCCTCCCACCCCCTTCTCTCTCTCTCTCTCTCTCTCTCTCTCTCTCTCTCTCTCTCTCTCTCTCTCTCTCTCTCTCTCTCTCTCTATCTATCTATCTATCTATCTATCTCTCTCTCTCTCTATCTATCTCTCTCTGTCCCTCTCTCTCTCTCTCTCTCTCTCTCTCTCTCTCTCTCTCTCCTCTTCTCCCTCCCTCCGCCTTTCACCGCCTTTCCTCCGAGTCTCTCCTTTATGCGACGTATGAAAATAGAATTCTGTCCCGGTTTCTCACGCCGGTTATAAATTGTCTATCGCGGTATCGCCGATCGAATTCGAAGACGATTTCTCCCCGGCTAAAACTGAAATCAACCTCCGAGCGCGCGCGCGCGCGGGACTGCTCTCGGGGATGACGAGGATGTGGCGGCCGCGCTCGATCGATGGGAGACTCCCCTCGATTTGATGCCGAGGGAATCTGGATTTATCGGAGACCCAAACACAGCTCGTTCCGCGGAGTAATCAGGGGAATCTAACGCGCTCGTGACTGGCCGCGAGAACCGCGCCGTCGCGTAATTAATACAGCGTGAAGCAGGCAGATTTACAAAGGAGATGTCTCTCGGCTCCCGGAGGAGCGACGAATCGAATAAATACCGCATCCGCGAGAGGCAACTGCTGTTGCGCGCGCGCGCGCACGCGCGTTATCATTTATCAGAAGAAAAAGAAAGAAAAGAAACGCATCCGACAAAACGTTAACACGCCTCGCTCCATCGCACGGCCTCTTCGGTTAAAACGCGTGTTAAAACGAAAAATAAATGCGACCCTTTGGTCGCAGTCAATGGCCGATATGCAACACGGCCGACAGTGGTATGAAAAAACACAATTTTTTTCTTCGCTGATTTTGATGTAAACAATGGATGCGGAATGCTGCGCGCCGACCAAATCTGCCCGTAGTCCGAGTTCAAAGTCTGAGGCTGCTCAGACAAGGACCCAACTGAGGTCACAGACTGAGGTTTAATCGACGGCCGGTTATTTGCGAAACAACGAAGGATTATCACCGTCAGCCAGACGCGCGACGAGCCGTACGCACAGTGGGGCCAGATGACATTCTTTGGTTCAAAATTCTCTAGGGACTTGAATTTCCAACCGATCATCGATACACACCAATGGATGAGGTTGATTCTGAATAAATTCCGAAGAGATCTGTCTTGCCAAAATTTAAAGAAACATTTTTCCTCGAGTTACCAGCCCCAAAAGAGGAAGAGTTATCGTTAAACTCGCGAGAAACTTGTGGAGTACTCATTATTCGACACTTATTTCTATCTAATAGCGTATTCAGCGGATTGAAACTGTGAAGGATACTTTCTGTCTCCGTATGATGGCTTATGAGCTGAGGTTTATAAGCTTTGGGCTCATGGACCATCAGAGGTTAGGGTTTTGTTCAATGTTTTCCATATTTTTACTTATCGGCTCCATATGGCTTAATTCTTTCTTAATGTGGGCTGAAATGATGAGCTTTGAAATTCAGAGTTTTCTAAAAGGTGACTATAAGTTCTGGGCTCTCGCATTTAGTATTCAGTAGGCTCGAGAAGAACCCATTGAGGTCGAACCCAAGACACTGTACTTTAAACGATAAACTTTTAAGACAAACCCTAAACCCATGAACTCTGAACCGATAATTTTTGCAAAATTTCGGCTAGACCGATCTCTTTGGAATTTATTCAGGAACAACCTCGTCCATTGGTGTCGATGATCGGTTGGAAATTCAGGTCTCTAGAGAATTTTCAACCGAAAAATGTCATCTGACCCCACTGTGCGGCGGCGAGCGTGTCGGCGCCGAGAATTTCGTCAATTCGCGCGACGCCAACCCGTCGCGGAAAGGTCGGCCCCGAGAGCTCTTGGCGGCGGCGAGTTTCGCGGCACATCCGGTATACGCGTATTATGTAACATTCACTATTGATCAGAGGTCGTTCACGCTCGACATGTAACGCGCTTATCGCGCTTTATCAATCTGCCAACTGGAGTCCGAGTCCGCGCGGAGTGCTCTCGTGCGCCGAAATAGCTCAGTTGGGAGAGCGTTAGACTGAAGATCTAAATGTCCCCGGTTCAATCCCGGGTTTCGGCAAAAGTGTTTTTTTTTTGTCTTTTTTTATTTTTTTCGGGGATTTCCTCTCACACACGCCCGACGCGCTCACGTTTTTCGAAAAAATCCGAGTGACGCGCTGTTATCATCGTTTCTGCGACGCTTTATCAGATTTATCGAGACGGGGCAAATATTTGTTTCTTGCTTATCGAGCTGTTCTCAGGCTTGGTCTAGCGTAATCACGCTGTGATCGCGTCACGTGGTACCGCAGTCATTGTTATACCGCCGCCTATAAGGCGATATTGTCATCCGCGTGAAACCAGACAGCTCATATTTCATTATTATGTCGTCGCTTTTTGCGCGCAGGCCGACCGTGACTAAATGCGAGCCGCTTATTTTGCAAATATAAGTCCACTTAAAAAACATTGCGAATTGCAATGAACCCACCGCACTCGCCGCCGCGGCCGCCGTGATGAATCGCCCACGGCGGCGAGAGATTTTTCAAAGCCGAACACTCGGCTTTCGAAATATATAAACGTCTCGTAAGCGCATATCATGCGCGCGCGCGATTCTCAGAATATCTCTCATCCCGCGCGCGCGCGCGCGACCGAAAAGTCATCCTCAATCTCTCCGAGTCGGTCGACTTATAAATAAAAAGCGGCAGTTTGATGAAAAATCGTTACGTAAATACCATTAAGAAACGCGGGGCTGCGGTATTTCTGAGCATCGCTCAAGCGTCGTTCGCGCGCGCGCGCGCGCAAACAAGCGCGAGGAAAGAGGAACGGGAACCGGGACGACGCGCTTTTCGACCCGGCGTAAAGAAAAAAAAAAAAAAGAAAAAAAAACAAGAAAACGCAGGAGGCGCTGCGAGCGCGCCGCGCCAACGAAAATCGTGCCGCCGCGGCCGCGGCACAGTTGAGCGAGAGCGAATCAATAAGCGGCCTTTTCTAAACGAGAGGATTTCAATTTTAAATCTTCCGCGTGGCGCGTGGCGCATCCGCGACGCTCGCCCGCCCGAGGGTTGTGTTCACGACGTAATAATAATAATAATAACCCCGTCGACGAGTCTCGTCGAGTAATCTCTGCCAGTGTGTACCGTCAATTATTTCGGCGCATTAATAATTACCAACTCTCTCCTCGATGATGTTCCTAACGATGTTACAGGTGCGAATCGCTACGGACTGTACTCGTTATTCCCGGGGGGTGGCGGGGGCAGTTACGTCGCCGCCACCCCCGCCACCTCCGGACCACCGACGCCAGCGCGGGCTTATCACGCGACGACTCACAAGGGTAAGTTCGCAACGACTTCCTCCTTCCTCCCTCGCCGCTTCCCCCGCCCCCGCCAGCGCTTTCTTCGGCTGCCGTCTCAGGACACTTCTGTGCGCCACGCCGCGCTTCGCCTTCGCCTTCTCCTTCGCCTTCGCCTTCGCCTTCGCCTTCGCCTTCGCGCGAGGAGTCGCGCCAGGTGCCGGATCGAGCCGGCCTCTCGCCGGCGGCGAGATCCCGCGAGCGCCTCGCGGAATTTCAGTCAACCCCGCGAAGAAGACCAGCGCGCGAGCCTGGCAGGCCTTGAAGAGACGCAGGACGACGTAGGATCGTGGCTATTGTGTGCCGGCAAGCGGCTGCGGGACAACAGCGATCGGCTGAATTATTGCGATTTATCGCCGCTCCTTCCGCGCCGCTCGAGGCTCGAGGAAGCGACGATTTTCATATCATCGATCGTGTCGATTCCTCCTTTCGATAATTACGTGATTCACTTCGGCGCAGGTAACGCGCGAGCTGCGGCACGCGTTAAGCGGTCCTGCGACTTGCCTGTCTTTGTCATCATCGCGGGCTGTTGTTCGACATTTCGGAGGATCGGGGAGAAAGCAGTTTCCCCTCAGGGTGGCTGTGCGCCGCGCAATCGCGATCCGAGTTTAGGACTCGGTGCGGGACTATGAATAACGCAAGTGACAGGTCGCGAGAGTCGCGATAAAAAGCGCGCTGCCGAGCAGAAACGAAGGAAACGAAGCGGGCGTTGACGGACTGCGGGAAGACGGGACTTGCGGTTCAGAGAGCGCCATTAGATGCGCAAATAGGCACTCGCGAGGCTGCCGCACGCTGGATTTCAAGACCGATACTCACAGTTGCAAATTAATCGCGACCCTCGACTGAGAGTGTAATTGACTGCGAATTCATATGCGTCGGCTTTTAATCAGCCGTTCCGATCGATATCTCTTCCGTGGAACAAGATCGACGAATGGCCGCCGAAGGATAATTCACGCGCCTGAGAAGCTGACTCGTGTTTATCTCTCTCTCTCTCTCTCTCTCTCGCTTTGATGCTAATTCTAACGATACCGATGATTCTATTGATAATTCCAATAAATATTCTAGTAACACATTACGCGCACACAAAAGGCTAGCTCACTTTGCGCGAAAACCGCGTAAAAATTCGCGTACGAAAATCTGTTTATTAAGTATCAGGAGCGTGATTCAGTTCTCGGGGTTTCGCAAGAGATGGCACTAATATCGAAAATATTCCAATCACAGCCATTGTGTTTCTTAACGCTTTGATATTCGCACGCCATGATGGTCATAGTCATTTGCTAACAATAGACGCAACTAAAAATCGCGTTAATAGACACGCCTTAAAAATGGAGCTTTCTAAAGAGCATTTTCGACACGCGTTGCTTTTATTATTTAATCAGAAGAAACGGCGGCTAAAGGTCACAGGATTCTGATAGAAACTTGATGTGACGATGTGATGTTGCTCCATCAATTAAGACAGATAAATATTGGTTTAGACGATTCAAATGTGTCGACTTCAATGTTCAGCGACAAAAGAATCGCTCGGGACAAAAGCAAAAAAAGCTTGAAAACCCAGCGCAATTCACTTGAGAGAACTTGCCAGAGCATTAAATGTCGATCGTATAACAATCACTAAACGTTTACGTGATACGGGAGAGGAGATTCACGAAGAAGGAAAATGGGTTTCACATCAATTATCGGAAAATGCCACTGCGAATCACTGCGGTTGAACATTTGCATTTCGTCGATCGGCAGACAAAAAATGAAGAGTTTTTTGTATCGAGTTGTTACTGGGGGTGACAAACGGATATCTATTTCGATAATCCCAAACGAAAAGAATCACGAGTTGATCCAGGTCAACTAGCAACATCCACTTCGAGGCGCAGTACTCTCGGTTTAAAGGCACTGCTGTTTATTTGGTGGGGTCAAAATGTTGTGTTAGTATGAATTGTTAAATCCGAGTGAAACTGTCACACCACTGCTCGTTATCGACAATTATACAAATTGAAGCGAGCATTGGTGCAAAAACGACGATCACCGATCGCGAGCAAACGACGCAAAGTGATCCTTCTTCACGACAATGCTCGACCTCATGTTGCATTATCAGCGAAGCAAACGCTATTAGAGCTGGAATGGCAAGTCTCACCGCGCCTCGCGCGTATTCTCCTCCAGACATTGCTGCATCCACTTATCACTCGTTCCGGTCGATGCAACATGCTACAGAGGACACGCACTTTCATAACTTCGAACAAGTGCGAAAATTTGTCGAAAATTGGATCGACTTCAAAGAGGAATCTTTTTATCGTCGTGGAATCCATCTCTCGGCAGGAAGATGGGAAAAAGTAGGAGACGAAGGGAAATATTTCGATTAAGGTATTCGTTCACTATCTTGTTCAAGTATCTTGATTAAGAGTCAGTTTTTGAAAAAAAGAAAAACTCTCCAAACTGAATCATACTTCTAATAACAATAAATCACGAATCTTTTTATCGCCGTGGAATCCATCTCTCGCCAGGAAAATGGGAAAAAATTGTACGGAACGAAAGAAAATATTTCGATTAAGGTACTCGTTCACTATCTTGTTTAAGTGAATCAGTTTGTGAGAAAAAAATTCTCGAAACCAAATCACGCACCTAGTGATAATAAATCACGAATCTTTTTATCACCGCGGAAAATCCATCTCTCGCCAGGAAAATGGGGAAATTTGTACGGAACGAAGGAAAATATTTCGATCAAGGTATTCGTTCACTACCTTGTTTAAGTGAATCAGTTTTTGAGAAAAAAACTTTCGAAACTAAATCACACTCCTAATAACGATAAATCACGAATCTTTTTATCATCGCGGAATCCATCTCTCGCCAGGAAAATGGGGAAAAATTGTACGGAACGAAGGAAAATATTTCGATCAAGGCATTCGTTCACTATCTTGTTTAAGTGAATCAGTTTTTGAGAAAAAAACTTTCGAAACTAAATCACACTCCTAATAACGATAAATCACGAATCTTTTTATCATCGCGGAATCCATCTCTCGCCAGGAAAATGGGGAAAAATTGTACGGAACGAAAGGAAATATTTCGATCAAGGTATTTCGTTCGACTATCTTGTCCAAGTGAATCAGTTTTGGAGGAGAGAACTTCTCGAAATTAAATCGTGCTCCTAATAATACCGGATAATACGGTCTAACGTTATTCTCGGCGAGTCCGTTAAACGGCGTCCGCTCAAATCGCGAGCATCCCGCGCGACGAGTGAGCCGACACACTTCTCGATGCGCGACGCATCCTGCGTCCTGCTTTCCCGACACCGGCTGCAGTCCTGCTCGCAGCACTCCGGCTAATCACACATACTCGGCGCGGCGCTGATATTGGCACCGACGCTCGCGCGGATGCGATACGATCGGAGGGATGTTGCTGCCGACGACAGGCCGACTGAACACGCCGAGAGCCAACCAAGTATTTTCATCAGCCGGCGAGAATCATAACCGTAACGCAGCACCGCGACGCGCGTGCACGCACGCAGTCGGCGTGTCGAGGAAGTACGTGACAATCCCGAAACAAGAGCGACAAAGCCGCCCCCCTCCCGCCCGCGACCGGCGATCAAAGACGACGGCCGCGTCGTCTCGACGACATCGAGAGAGCGCGCGATCGACGCTCTCTCTCTCTCTCTCTCTCTCTCTCTCTCTCTCTCTCTCTCTCTCTCTCCTCTCTCTCTCCTCTCCTCTCTCTCTCTCTCTCTCTCCTCTCTCTCTCTCCTCTCTCTCTCTCTCTCTCTCTCTCTCTCTCTCTCTCTCTCTCTCTCTCTCCCTCTCTCTCTCTCTCTCGCTCTCTCTCTCTCTCTCTCTCTCTCTCTCTCTCTCTCTCTCTCTCTCTGTCGAAGCACTCCGCGAGTTCCATTCTGAATCTACCGTCGGTAGATTCACCCCCGCAACGTTAGCGTTGTTGCACCGAGTCCAAATTCAGGTCGCTTGTATGCGTCTCTACTCTTCTCCCTTCCGAGCCTTCTCTTCATGTTTGTAGCCCCCGGCAACCCCGGCGCTAACGAGGAGTCGTGGTCGATGGATTCCGAAGGCGATCGCTTTGTTCTGCTGTTGCTTATCCACTAATCTGTGCTCATTGTCTCCGTATTAATCGTTCGATATTCGCGTATATTTGATCCGCGGTCGAGCGGTCATCGATAACATCGAGAGGAAGAAGAGATCCCCTAGAAGCCCAGACGAGGAGAGAAAGACGTTTCACGCGAATGATAGATTTTAATTCGTAATTTAAGTTTTAATTTTTTTTTTTTTTTTTTTTGATTCATCAGCCGCTTTACACACGACATTTACACTTCAGCGGTCAGAATGTAGTATTAAAAAATTGACCGCGTTCCTCGGCAAGGTCACTTCTATCGGCGGAGCTCGCGTGCAGAATCGCGAGACTTCATCGGGAAAGAAGCTGGACGGAGGGATTGTCGCGCGAAGAAGCCGCGAGACAGTCGAATCTACCGGATAATTCCGCAAAATAAATGCTGCCTCAAGCCTCGCGACATTGAAAAGATGGCGCTGAGAGCGACCACTTGTGGCGTCGTCAAGAAACAACAATAGCCTGGCCAGCGTTGAATCTCGCGAGGATTTGCGCCCGGCCGGAGAATTTGCGGGGTTAACGCGGAACATCGAAATTTCGGATAATCGCTCGGATAATCGAAAGCTCGATGGCGAATGCAGATTCGATTCTCGACAAGACTTCGACGAGAAGCAGGAGGAGGAGGTGGAGGAGGAAGGAGGAAGAGGAGAAAGAGAAATCGACCCTCCGACGTGTCCTCGTGTTCCTCCCGCTTCCTTCGCCTTCTTTTTCCTACGTCCCTTTTTCCCTCGTCGAATCTGTTCTCCGTCCTGCCACCACCGCCACCGCCACCGCCTCCGCCTCTCACGGAGCCGCGTTTTGGGTTACACCTCGGACAATGAGGTTGTTAGCGACGGAGGTGAGACGAGTTGTGCGCGACTGGACACACGCGGCCGCACGCGGGAATTCTATTTGGCCGCGCGCGTTTTTCTCCAACTCCGCCCGAGTCCGCCGAGTTCGCCGCTTTAATTGCATAATTGCTCCATTGTGGACCGGCCGACCGGCCCGGCGGCGGCGGCAGCGGCGGCGGCGGCGGCGGCGGCGGCGGGCGGGACGGGACGAAGGGGGGAGGGGGATGGGTTCGCGCGCGGATGTGAAAGGGTCGCGACGTAAAAACGCCATAGAGAAGGAGGATGCTCGCTAATTGCCGGCGAGCCGGGAAATGCGCGCTCGTCTTCGACGCCCCGGCCGATTCCCTCCTTCCCCCCTCCCCTCCCCTCCCCTCCCCTCCCCTACCCCCTATCTTTCTCTGTCTCTTTCTGTCTCGCGATCTCTAATCTATCTATACGTTTATCTTTTTCATGCCTCGCTGCGTGCGTGCGCCCGGCAGAACGCACAGGTGAGTGTATGTAAGTCGAGACGCGTAATTCGATCGCGCGCACACGCGTGAGCGCGGTGGAAAAGCGAGACGCGACGCGACTCGCGAGGCTCCGCCGCGAGATCCGTTTTAACGCGACGGCGGATATTCTTCACGCACGTTAATTTGCATAGGCAGAGATACGTATATATCCACGTTTAGATAAAATCAATAGTACTAGCAGCGGCGCGCCGCGCTGCCGAAGACATATTGCGCGGCCGCGCGCGCTGACGGACACGTTCTCCCCCCCCCCATTCTCTCTCTGTTTGTCGCTGCCCCCGTCTTTCTCTCTCTCTCTCTCGCTCACTATCTGCCTTTCTTTTTGCCTCTTACTCTCGCGGAATAGCGCAGCGCTGTCGTCGTTCGAAAAAAGCGGCCGGTGACGCTCCGCGCCATGATATTATTATTATTATTATTATTATTATTATTATTATTATCTGGTATTTCATTGGACGCGCGTACGCATCGCCTGGGCATCGGTCATTGTCTGACAATAGCGCGGTATTCGGTGGCGATCAAGAGGCGTGAGGACAGATTGGTACGGCTTGAAGACGAGAGAGAGAGAGAGAGAGGCGACGACGAGAAAAATGACGCGGAAATGAGAGAGGGTTTTTTTTCTTTTCTGGAAATCGCGATCAATCTTCGTAGTAATCGATGGGACAAACTGCAGAAGGTTACCAGAGGGAGGTTTTCGAGTCTCGAAGGGACAGGGTCCGCGGTTTCCGCAGGAAAGAATGTCGAGAACGTCACGTAGTCGTTTAACATTAAACCATTTCCAAAGACGGGCTCCGCGAAGATAACTTCGCCGAAAGCGGATGGTTTCGTCAGGCTTGGTCTGGTCGAGAGTTCGGGCTCTGGTCAAGGTTGGGCCAGAAGCTTCGGTTCCGCGCGGGAATTTGCAGACTTAACACAGTCGATACACAGTCGAGTCGCGTTCGGGCGCGCGCAGCGTCGCGTCGCGAGACGACACGATGAGGAATCAGTCTTGGTCGCGTTGAGAGTTCGGGCTCTGATCAAGATTGGGCCAGAAGCTGCGGTTCCGCGCGGGAATTTGCAGACTTGCGCTGATCTCACGAAATAACACTGTCGCGCCGCGACACGATGAAAAATCAGCCTCTGCGCGCGCGAGGAGCACCGCTCGGTGAGGAGCGAATATATTCCCCCTTCCCCCCCCCTAGAGAGACTTCAAGCCCCTCCCCCTTGGAGGCTTCTGCATGTACGTATTCCTTTTCGCAGCCACTTTCGTCGACCATCGCGGAAAAGCCCGCGGTGCCCAAACGTGCAGCTGAAATTCTAATTACGATTGATAAAGCGAGGTCTGGCGAGAGCCGCCGCCGGCGGCGCCGCTTCGTCGATAATCAGACACGCGGAGTCACAGACACGGGAACGACGAGCGCTGGCGCGCTCAGATATATCTCGGCGAGCTATCTAATCGCGCGCCGGGCTTTACCGCGAAGCTGACTACACGCGTCGCGCAGGAGTCTCTCGCGGGCACGCGGCGTCGCGTCGTCGCGTCAACGTGTCGAGAGGGTCGAACGCGGTCCCGGGGACACTCGACGAGCGTTATCGAGCAGTCTCAGGCTGTTTTCCACTCGATAGCCCGTCCCCGCAGCGGCGTTTTCCACTTTACGGCGCTGGCAAACGGCAAACGGCAAGCGGAGCGAAATACGGAGAGCGAGACACGGACGGACGGACGGACGGACGGATGGACGGCTGACCGAGCGCGGAAGGGCCCGGGTCGATTAATCGGCGGATTCTCCAGTTTCAGAGAGTGTGTTTTCCGCGGCGGTGGGGGTCGGGGTAGGCGGCTACACCTGGGGCGCTCCCACGCCGCCGCCGGGGTCTCCCTACAGCCCGGTGCCCGTGACGCAGCTGGAGCTGCTGGCGAAGAATTTGGCGAACCTGGCGCCCGCGGGCCAGCAGGCCCTGAGTCTGCAGGGTGTCGGCGTCAACGTGGGTAGCCTGCATCACGCGCAGCACACGCAGCACACGCAGCACACCCTCAACCTCACCGGGCTTCACCATCTGCATCATGGTGAGTTTTTCTCTCTCTCTCTCTCTCTCTCTCTCTCTCGCTCTCTCTCTCGCTCTCTCGCTCTCTTTCTCTCTCCGGTGTCTCTGTCTTGCTCGACAGGGAGAAAAAGAGAAGCGTTTCTCGGTCCGCTTAGCTTCGTGCGACGTGTCACGTGTGACGTTTGTTTGTCTGTTTCACCCGGCGAAGGTGGCCTCCACCAGAACGCCTTCTCGCCCCAGCTGTCCCTGGTGACCGGCAGCGCGCCGACGCTCACCATCAACAGTTTCTCGTCGCCCAACTCGACCAACGGCGTCGCGCCTACGACCGGCGTACTTCTGCAGGAGTACCAGCCGCCGACGGGGACGGCGGGATGCACCGTCACCGTCAACGGGCCCTCCGGCCTCACCAGCAGCAGCAGCAGCAGCAGCAGCAGCATGATGGTACACGGCGGCGGCCAGACCGTCCAGGCCACCGCCAAGAAGCGGGAGGCCTTCCTTCCAAGCCAAGGCCAGCCGGTGAAGCTGGAGAACAAGTCGACGAGGACGTCGTGTCTCTGCAGGAACAGCAACGGTACGACGTGCGGATGTCGGCGGCGCTGGCAGGCTCGACCAAGCGCGCGGTCCTTGCGGGACGAACCTCGCTTTTCGGATTTTCATTCATTCATTCAGCAGCCTCGGAGGACCCCCTCGAGGTCCTGAGCTGATCCTCGAACTCGGGTCGTTGTCTTTCGGCTCCTTCGGACGGATCTTTGGCATCATCCGATACACCCGCGAGTTCCGTCCCTTCACTCTCTCTCTCTCTCTCTCTCTCTCTCTCTCTCTCTCTTTCTCTCTCTCTCTCTCTCTCTCTCTCTCTCTCTCTCTCTCTCTCTCTTTTTCTCGGCGGACCTCGAGGCTCCTCCAGAGAGCTTTGAAAATCCGAGAAACGAGGCGTCGCTGAAACGTTCCTTCAGCGCGAGCCAACGGCACAGTGTGTCGATACAAGCGGCAAACGCCTGATTGTAGGGAAGACAAAGGTAGTGCACTCGGACGTGGGGTGCAGCAGGACGCTACCTGTCGCGTCGTCCTGGCACGGGCAGGACGGCGCTGGTGCTAACAATAGCGGTGCTAGCCTGGTGAAGAGGGAACCCTTGGCCTCGGTTCCCTGTCAAGTCGCCGAGGTCTCCACGTCCCTTCACGCCACCACCACCTCCGTCAAGATCGAGCCCGTCCCGCCCAAGCCCGAGAACGGTAAGTCGATTCCCGGTTGCCGCGCGCGCGGGAACAACCAACGAGGCGGCCACTCTCTCTTTCTCTCTCTCTCTCCCTCTCTCTCCCTCTCTCTCTCTCTCTCTCTCTCTCCCTCCCTCCCTCTCTCGCTCTCTCTCTGTCTCAGCGGGTCTGTTCGTCTTCGAGCAGCTTGCCAAGCAGCGCAATCAGTCGTGCCGAAACGAGGGTAGTCTCTTCCGCTCGAACTTATCGCGCCTGGCGAGTCCAGCTCTTTGAGAACGAGCAGAAGGAACGAATCGGAAAGGAGAGCGACGTCGTCGAAATTGGTCAGCAAGTCCGAGGTGCGACTTCTACACGCAGGAGCGTGCGATTGGCCGAGATCTGCTTCACGCGTTACTAGTTGTCTTCGATCGTACCGGGTGATACGTTCGAGCGACGTTGAACGACGTGCTTCGGGACGACGAGGAACGTGCGAAGGAAGCTGCAGCTTTCTGACACGCTGATGCGTGAAGAAATTACATCCTTGGATTTGTAATTGGAGGAGACCTTCCTCGTTCGATAGCGACGCACGGCTGTTGGATCCGGCGGACTGGTCGACGACGCTGTAATTGGTGATGGAAATCCCTCTCGATTCCATAGCAATATCGCTGAAACTCGCTTATCAAGAGGCGGGGGGAGGGGTAGGGGGAGGAAAGCCGACCGGATTATAAAGTACGACGGCGAATGTGCCGAATCCCGCTCCCGCAGGTTTGACGTACCGAATTCGGCTCTTGAAAGAGGGATCCCTTCTCTGGTTCTGCTTGTCAGGTCGCGGCGGTTTCCACGTCCCTTCGCGCCACCAGCGCGATCCGTCAAGATCGAGCCAGCCAGGCGCGCTTCGGCTGACGCTTCGGGGGAGCGAGTCGCTGCCTCCCTCACGAGCCGAACTCGGTCCTGAAGAATCGGCCGTTCGCGTCTCATCCGAGCGAAGGGTCTTCACCTGTGCAGTGTCGCAGTTCTTTCTCCTCTGCGTTAAACGTTGCTCGAGACTTTTACCAGCCGAGTCTCAATGACACCACTTGTTGTTGATGACGACACTCTTGCTCTTCGCTGTACGTTCACTCCGCGACGACGACGACGACGACGACGACGCGGTCCATTTTAATCGACCTGAGCTCTCGCGCAGCGCTCGCGCGAGATGCATCTTGATTGCCGAATTCACGCGACGACGGCCACACGAGCGGACTTCGTCAACGTGACGCGATGCTGTAGGAAGTCTAAGGTGGCCGGCAGTCTGAACGGAGGAGCAGATGCGTTACGAAATTGCAGCAACCCCCTTTACGTAACGCGCGTTACAAGGTGTCGTTATTCAGGATACGAATCGCTCGCGAGCGAGACGCCTGGCTGGATCCTGGACGCGAGAGGGGGGAGGGAGAGAGGGAGAGAGAGAGAGAGAGAGAGAGAGATAGAGAGAGAGAGAGAGAGATTGAGGCGTGAGTTATTTATGACGAGCCCGGAGATCTCGCCGGGGATAAAAGTATCGTCGGTATATCGGCGCGATTACGCGCTTTCCTCGACGCCGAACCCAAGGAAGCGCGCAGCGGCTTCGTCCAATAACCGAGGCGGCGGGCGAGAATGACGACGACGACGACGACGACGACGACAATGACGACAGCGGCGACGGCGGCGGAGCAAAGATCTTTCGCTCGCGATACAAACGATCAAATCTTCAAAATCGAGATAATTGCGTCCTCTTGACTCGCAGACGGACAGACGGACGGACGGACGGGTTGCCGCGGCGCGCCTGCCGGTGCTTCGCGAAGATGGCGAGTGCGAAGATCCCTGGCCGCGATAAACGTAATACCGTCCCAATCAGCATAATCGCGTTCCTTCTCAGACCAACCACACGAGGAATCGCCTAATACGAAGGCGGCGCGACGCTTTTTTCGATAGGCGCGCCGAAACGCCGGGCTGGGCGGCGAGCGCGCGCGGTAGGGGAGAGAAAAGTGCATACAACCGCGAGCGTATGGAGAGCGAGAAAGAAAGAAAGAGAGAGAGAGAGAGAGAGAGAAACGAATAAAGTCAGAGGAGAGGACCAGGAACCAGAGAGAAAGAGAGACAGACAGAGAGAGAGAGAGAGAGAGAGAGAGAGAGAGAGAGAGAGAGAGAGAGAGAGAGAGAGAGAGAGAGAGAGAGAGAGAAAGAGAGACAAACAGAGAGAGAGAGAGGAGGGGGAGCAGGGAGGGAGGCAGAGATAAAGAACGAGAGAGAAGGAGAGTCGACCGGCCGGTCGGTCGGTCGATCGGTCGGTCGGTCGGTGCCGAGCGAGACGGCGAGAGGAAAAGAGCAAAGAAGCGAGACGAGAGACGACGAGAGGCACGGGGTAAGGAGAAAGAGAAAGAGCGGAGCAGACAGTCTCGTTAAAGTAGGAGGTGCGTGGCACGCATGGCGACGCAAACACAAGGCGTGGTTCGAAAGAGTCTCGACCCTCTCTCTCTCTCTCTCTCTCTCACTCGCTCACTCGCTCGCTCTCTCCCTCTCTCTCTCTCTCTCTCTCTCTCTCTCTCTCTCTCTCTCTCTCTCCCGGTCCTGACACATCCGTGCGCGCCGCTGGCACACGGTTCTCCCGTGGCCCGGTGGTGTGCGCGTTGGCCCACACGTGTTACGTCATGCGAGCGTAACGCGCCGCGCCGCTTAAGGCGCGGGGAAAAGAGGCGGTCGACGAGGAAGGAAGAAAGAAAGAAAGAAAGAAAGAAAGGACGCGGGGCCGAGAGAGGGAAGGAGGGGGGAGGGAGGGGAGATCGAGACGGTGATTTAAATGAATGCGTTTCGGGGTGCATCGGCGAGACGCGCGTGCAGCGCGCTGATAAAGAGGAAGGAAGAAAAAGAGCGGATTCCGTGGAGAGAGCGTGGTCCCGCTCGAGAGAGAGAGAGAGAGAGAGAGAGAGAGACTCGTCGAGAGGCGCGAGGGCCGGCGATGACGACCAAGAGGCGAGAGGACGCCGCCGGCTGGCGGATCGGCAGACGGTGATTTAAACGAATGCGTGTTGGACTTGCGTCGACTCGCGGAAGACCGGAGGAGAGCCGAAGGGGCTTCCGCGAGAGCGGGGGGGGGGCCACGTCTGTCTCTGCGAGGGCACCTACTCCTTGCGATCGTGCGCGAGGCCTTGAGCTAGTTGATGGTGGCTGTCGATACCGCGCCGAGATACGCCAGAGCGATCTCCGAGCGGGAGGAAAAGGCGCGAGCGCGCTCGCTCGAGCGACGACCGGCCGACCGACCGGTCGAGATCGCGAATATCCTCGCGTCCGGTGCGAGAGCTTGTGAAGGGACTGGACGTGGGGAGCGGGAAGAAGAGCCTCGCTCTCCGGGGGAGAAGAGCTTTCCTCTCGAGGAAGGTGCTGCTTGCGCGTCATGAACTCCTCCGTCCGAGCGCCTCCGCGATATCACTTCAGGCTCGAAGCGAGCCGATCGCGCGATACCGTGCGATTCTCACCGCGCGATTTCCCTCGTCGTTTCAGGGATCGTGGTCTCCAACGCGGGAGCCGCTGGCATACCGGTCGGCATCGCCGTGGCGAGGCAGCGATTGCAGCATCAGGAGACTTCGACGTCTATGCGCAATGTGTCTTTAAGTCATCACACGTCGCATCACGCGAGCTATCATCATTTCCAGCCGGACAGCCTAGGTGAGTCCTCTTTTTTCACGCCAGGTATCTCACCTCCCGCGCGGCGGCGGCGGCGGGGAGGGGGGAGGAGAGGAGAGGGGGGGATTGCGAAACTCCGATGCCGGCGCCGGTCGTCGCGGTCGAGATCGGTAATGACGTCGGGAGGAAAAAGCCGAGAAAATTTCGAGAAGTCGCCTGGCCGGCCACGTGCGCGCGCCACGTGCTGGGCGTGAAAGAAACGGCTTCATCCTCTCGGCGGAATTGCAGTCACACACCGTCGAGTCCGGTCGACCGGATCTCCTTGTCGCTTCGGCAAAAAAGCGGCGGTCTCTCGCGAGACGCGCGCGCGCACGCGCGAGCTTATTATCGCGGCCGCCGGAAAAATCGCCCTCCTCGCCGCTCGATTATTTCATTTCGCTCGCTCGCTCGCTCGCGCGCGCGCGCGCGAGTGCCGAGCGAGCCTGGCTGAGTGCGAAAGTTCCGACGGGCTCCTCCCTGAGGCGTCGTCGCGCCCTCCCCGTTTTGCGGCAGCGTTCAGGATACGTGTACTTGTAACGTTTCGCTGGAGAGGTCGTACTTTTTTCACGGTCACTCGGTAGAATATCGACGAGTCGTTTTTACCTCTTAATGGCGGAAATAAAATATAGCGTTGCTGCGTTGTAAGTTTTTTCTCCCTTTTTTTCTCTCTTTTGGAATGCGCGGCTATTTGCGTCATCAACAGCCGAGAGGTTGGAAGTTGCCCATCGCGAGACCCAGCCGGGAGCAAAGCTCCCGGCGTTTCCTCAGGACGAAGAAGAGGACGTGCGCGCGCGCGACAATGCGCCCCTCCGCGTTCGCGATTGCACGTTGCGGACCGCGCGTGTGATTGTGGCATTTTACGTAAGTCAACGAGTACGTTTTCATTAAAATGCCACCCCTCGCGCGAAGACGCGAGGGAGAATTTGCGGACGCGTATCGCGTTTCACCCCGCCGAGGGCGCGAAGCGACGTCACGCGCGCGCGCGCGCGCGCGCCATCGACGACAGCCTCGAGGACACGGAATCTTCCTCGCGGAGCGACGCGTTCTCCTGCCGAACGACTTGGCCGGCGCATCCGCGCATCCGAGGGAGGAATTAATTCTGCCGGTGATCTCCTGCCGGAAGATCAATTCCTCCGCCGGATGCGCTGGCCGCGTCTGCAGGCTCTCGACGGGCGACGAGAGTGTCGCGATCTTTCAGCCAATCGCTCAATACGGAGCCGACGAGCGTAATGACAGCCTCAACGTCTAATGGCACTTAACTGCCCAATGGCGCAGCGCCGAGAGCAGGATTTTCGATCCTGCGCGGCCGATCTCGCGGCGGCGCGCGTCGCGACTTCGCATTCGTGACCGCTAATTGCCCGGCGAAAAAACCGCGGCGATCGTTACTCAGTCGTCGTTACCGGGAAAAGTCGCGCTGCCTCTTATTGCGCAAAGTGCATAATAGCGCGCGTAAGATAAGAAAGAAAAGCATAAAAGAGAAGGAAACGAGGAAGTAACATTTGAAACATCCTCGTCGAACGAGCGAGCGTCGCAACGGCGCAGGCGCGATGCGTCGCGCGATCTTCTCCTGCGAAAATCGACTCTTCTCCGGCCGATGATTTTCGCGCGACACGACTCTCGACTCTCACGAGAGAAAACGTCGAGCCCGTTTGAGGGCAAATAACATCGACACGGATCGACGGGCCTCGATTCGAGAAGAGAATCGGTTCGCGGAGAGGCAAAAGTCGATCTCGTTCCAGGGAGGAGATCGATTCCCTCGAGGTCGAATCGAGATCGATCCGAGACACGCGCGTCTCCTCGGGAATATTCCTCCGTCTAATCCGGCGGCGTTCGGCAACTCCCGGAGCGAATATTAAAGAGAGCTCGCTCGCGGGCTTGCTGGCGAAAATTCGTCGTGTCGTGCGCGGAACGGCGCTTCGCAAATCGATCGCGCCCGCGAGTGGCAGCGGAGGCGGCGGCGGCGGCGGCGGCGGCGGCGGGCGGGCGGGGAGGAGGGGCCTTTTTCGAACTTCTCCGCGGAGGGGCTCTATCGTCCTCTCGGCATCGGCGTCGGGAAACGACAGGCCGAGGAGGCGCGATTCACGCCTGTATTGCGACGTCACACGCCTCGAGAGTAATTTATTGCGAAAGAATATCGCCGCCATTAACCGCCCCGCCCCGGGGACTATTATTCTTTTCACGGCGATGCTTCCGCGAAAATGACGCGATCGCCGGGTCTCGCGCGCGAGACTCCTCGCGTACGATTCTTCCTCGCCGGAGGATCGCCGGCCGGCCAATTGCGACTCCGCTCGAGGAAACTCGGCTTTCCGCGCGTCGCCGGAAGAACGTCGTCGCGGATCGAACTTAATCTTCCTCGCGCAACAAAACAGCGTCGTCGAAGATACGCGCGCGCGCGCGGCGGCGGCGGCCGTTAATCGCGACGCCGCGCCGGCCAGGCGCTGCGATTAAAATCCAGCGGATCGATGCAGCGGCGAAGGACACGAGCAGATGCAACGAGGACAACGTGTCGGATGGCTCCCGCGATCCTTACCGCATTTGTCGCAACACCAAGTAACTGTTATCGGATACATACAGCGACCACGAGATAGTCGACACAATCGGTGGGCGCCTTGCCGCCTCGTGTTTGCCTTGTTTTCGCGAATCGAGCGGACGCAATAAGGAGGACGATGCTCGGTTCTTCGCATTCGTCATGACAACAAATTGTCGAACGTACAAGGACAACACAATGTTGAGAGAGCCTGTCGTGCGCGGCCTTGCTGCGTCCGCTCGCTCGCTCCTCGCGCGTCGTGCGTCGTCCTCTCGACGGACGCTGCCTGAGCGCTGCCGAGTGAACGCGAGTGTCGACCGCAGCCGTGGCGTTGCCGACCGATCCCGCTGGGCGCAACAGCACCTCTCTCACCCCGAAGACGTCGCGCGCGCGCGACGCCGCCGATGTTCACCGCGTCCGATTTCACGTGGCCCGGATCGATACCCGCGTCCAGCGCGGCTCTCGACCGCCGAGGGAAGCTCCGCGCCGCGCCGCGGCCGAGGTCCGCGAGAAGAGCGCTTCCTCTCCCTCCCTTTTCCCCCTCCTCTCTCTCTCTCTCTCTCTCTCTCTCTCCCTCTCCCTCCCTTGATGATCGCGCGCGGCGCGGCCGATCCTCGCGCGCGGAACCGAGCCGCGGAGATGAACGCCGGTTCCGTTTTGTAGGTTCCAGCACGGCCATGGCGGTAGGCGGCACCACCCTGGTGCACTGCGGAGGACCTGGAGGGGAGGATCGTGCGGCCCACCTCACCATTCCCTCCGGGGCGCTCGCGCCCTCGCTGAACCTGAATTCCAGTCTGAATTCCAGCCTGAATTCCACCCTGGGCAACATCGGCACTCCGGCGACCGACACGGCCGCTACGTGGCCGCCTACCTTGTGGCAGTATCCGGCTACGGCGGCCGCAGGTGGGTAGCTCGGCGGGGACCTGACGCAAGAAGCCGCGGGTACCGCGTCGTTAGAATCGTCCAGGATACGTGGAAGCTCGAGCGCGAGTCGACGAGCGACCGAGAAGGATCCTACTTTTTGCCCGACTTGCTTTCCCGGTTGGCGTCGCGGCTCACCTTCCGTCGTTTCGTCCACGTTTCAGGGAAAGAGAAAGAGAGAGAGAGAGAGAGAGACAGACAGAAAGAGACGGATAATTTGAAGCTACCCTGAAGAGGACACTGGTGGTGTTTACGAGATGAGATCGGGGAGGAAATCATGACGGGAGCGCGATAACCAAGCCGAATCGAGCAGAAATATTGAAATATCAAGTCCTCCTCGTTCTTCTTCTTCTTCTTCTTCTTCTTCTGGTATCGACTACGCCCCCGGAGGCCGTTTATGGATTAAAAAGATCCTCTCCTTACGACGGACACTCGAGTGTCGTTGTTCGATTGATTCTGATATCCCTGTCGTCTCGAGTGCCGTTCGAAAGCGAGGCCTTCCGAAAGTCCCGAGTGTCTTTCGGCAGTTTCGAGTAGTCGCGCACGCAGATCGGCATGATAGACTTGTCACTTCCTAGGCCAGGGTTCATTGGCATCTTTCTCACGCATCATGTTGCTTCGAGCATCACGAGCCGTTCAAGCACCGGCGCGGTATCTCGCGTATTACGGCTTCTCTCATACGAGGTTTCGTGTTCGTTTACGTTACGAGTGTCACTGGCCGCGGGTGGAGAGAGACGTCGTTGACAGCCGACGTGATGACGCGCGCAGAGGAAAAAGTCACAGCGCGCAACGTTCCGTATGAGTAAAATTCGAAATCGAATCCTCTGGAAATAAATTCCCTTCAATTTTATCGCCATTTTCTTTCTTCTCTTTTCTCTCCTCTTTTCTTTTACGGTGGGGGAATAAACCGTCAGCGGAGTCGATCTCGGCGCGAGGGAACTTCCTCCGGTGAGACTTCGAGGCTCGTAATACATAAAAATAGCACGCACACACACACACACACACACACACACACATGAAAAACGGGAAGAGGATAATGAAAAAATAAATTACGTTACGACAACGCAGTCGGCGCGCGTCCCTGAGTCGCGAACCTCCGCGGCGGCGATTCTCGCCGTCAAAAAATCCTCCTCTCCGCCAGAAAAGTTCCCACGGTCGCGGAATGTGTTCCGTTCGGTTATGCCAATCGCGCTGCACAATCGACAGGAGGAAAGTCGCGACGCTTTGACCTCGAGACGGACGAGGAGGATTCACGGAGGTAATCGATACCGAAGAGAACTTTCCGCCCGGTAATCCTCCGAAGATAAATTCTCCCATTCCGCAAACGGCCGTGTTGCGGAACTCGTTCGACAAAAAATCCTTGCTCCCCTCTCCCCCACCGGGAGACTATATTGATAACAGATACACGCCGAGGTAGGCGCGAGGAACAGCAGCAGGAGGAGGAGGAGGACGAGGAGGAGGTGAATGCGTGCGCGAACTTGGAAAGTTTCCGAGCGGCATCCGAGCGTTTCTCCTTCGCCAGGACTTTCGGCGCGCTCTCGGAGGACTCGGCGGCATCCGAGACGCTCGGCGGAACTTGAGGATTTTTGAGAATCTCCCTCGCCTTCAACAGCGTCTCTCACGTCGCTCTCCGAGTCTATCGCGCTAATATTATTTCATCCCCGGGACGAAACACCGTCTTCGCCTTCGTCCCCCCCTCCCCCCCGCCACCGTGACGGTGCGGCGCGTGTCGTCGGCGGCGGCGGCGGCGGCATTGAGCGCCATCGAGCTATTAAATAAACAATCGGCTCTTTAGAGCCACCCCGAGAGCGCTGACGTGCGTTCACGTGTGCATTCGCGTATTCTCGTTACCGCCACCGCCGCGTCGCGCCGCGCCGCGCAATGTGCGGCCGACAGCTCAATTATTTCGTCGGACATCAAAGGCGATACACAGTCGGGCGCGCCGCGCCGCGTCTCTCGTTTTTTGCCCGACGCGGCGCTCGCGCAGCCGGCCGTCTTCTTCGCAGCGCGCGTTAATATCGTCTCATCATCGACCTGGCTCTCGCTATTGACTCATCATCGCCACGTCCGAATATTTGTTCTCGGCCCCGACGCGATCCTCAGCCGCGATTCCCCGGACGCGTCCATCTCGCAACTCTTGTTCAGGTCGCGGACTCGCCAGTTGGACCAGACGCAGCACCCCCCCTCCGCCCCCCCTCCCGCCCCCCGAGACGCGGGTCGCGAGAGAGGAAGGAAGAGATCGCGACGTTTGAATTTTCTGAGGCTGGCCGACGACGAGTTTGGAGCAAAAGTCCGAATTAATTAACGTAGCGTGTATCGCGCTTCCATCGGCGCGGGCGGCGGCCAGGGTGGACGGGGGCGGGAAGGGGAGGGAAGGGGAGGGGAGGGGAGGATTAACCGGGCCGCTAACGAGCGACCCTATACAATTTCGGATCGAATTCGCCCCTCTCGCTGACCTCTCTCCGGCCTCGTTGACCGAGTGACATTTATCCGAATAACGTTGAACTACATCGGCCCAGCGCGCTGTAAATCACTCACCACCCCCTTCCCCTGCCCACCCTCCTCCCGTATTTAATTCGTCGCTTAGACAGGTGTCCGAGTGACGACGACAAAACGACGTGGCCGCGCGAGAGACGACGATTTTTCGACGCTGCGAGCTGCATATTTAATATACGTGGCTGCGCGACGGCGACGGGGCGCCGGGTCTCTTTGTCATCTCTTGGGCGAAGGTCCAGAACGTCGCACGACGTAATATCAGAAGCACGGCTCGGCTGGAAGGCCCTTGGCCCTTCGGCCTCTCAGGACGCGCAATCTTCGCTTCGGAAAAAACGCGTTGGCTTAGGTCCGACTCGCCATGAGCGATTCGCCAGGGTTGTCGAAAGTGTTTCTGAAGCTCTCTCCCTTCGTCCCCCCTCTCTCTCTTTCTCTCTCTCTCTCTCTGTCTGTCTGTCTGTCTGTCTGTCGGTGAGCTATTTGCACGCGCGGGCGCGAGGTGCGACTTATCTTGTCGTAGCATCGATTGATTACCGAACGGAGGCTTCTCCTGCGGGCTTCCGAGTGCGGCCGCTCTCGCGCGACCAAGCTCGTTTGCTCACGGGAATCCCCGGTATCGCTGTTAATCTCAAAGTGCCCATGTAAACAAGCTATATCGCGAGGACATAAAATGGACATTAACGTGTCGTCTGATGCGGGATAACGGAGCGCGACCGGACTTTTCCAGCGATGCCGACGGAGCCGCTGAACTTCCCGCAGATGGGCGTCGGTCTCCAGGGCGGGCTGCAGCTCGTCCGCGACCCGGCCAGCGGTCACCTCCTCCTGATTCACGCAGCGGGTAAAGTATCCTCGCTTGGACCACGAGAACGAGTCGAGCGAGATTGCTGAAGGAACTTCGTCTCGCCTGACGCACTCGGCGTCAGAATCCGGAGTTGGGTCTGAGTCTTTCCTCAGTCGAGTCGTTCGTACGTCATCTTTGCAACTTGACGACTTGAAACTGGGAAGCTTGGAAGCTCCAACCCCGAATTCGGGTCCGAGTGTCTCGCTCGGGACGAGTTTCAGATGAACGATTGTTAACGACTGTTAGTGAGCGTTTTTATGACTATGATCTGGCGCCGCCTTCACCCTCCCCATGAGGGGTCGCAATGTATCCCACAGGTACCACCAGTTTTCCTATTACTCCCCCCTTTCGCTTTCTCCTGAGACGATTCCTTCTTCAGCAGCGCTTGGCTGATGGGCCAAAACGCTGAAGGACGAATCAGAGACAAGTGTATTATCAGGGTGGAGAAGAAAAGTCTTTGAGGCCTTTTGCGGTACGCGTGTGTATCCATTGGACATTGCGACTCACGGGGAGGGTGGAAAAAGCTGGGAGCTCTCATGGACGAGCGTGAATTTGACGCTTTCGACAGAACAAATGCAGCAAGCGGTGGTGTGGCCGAATTACGCCAGTCACGGCGGTAACGTTGCGCCACCGCCGCTCTTCCTGCCGCCGGCACCGCCGTCGATCCAGGTGCTCGGCGACATCGGCGGCGCGAGGTTGGTGCTCGCCGAGAACAAGAGGAAGCCGCCGCTACCGATCGTCAAGATCGAGGCGGACTGCAGCAGCAGCCCGACCACCATAATCAGCAGTGAGTAGGATTCCACACGCGGAGTTTGAGAACGGACGGGGGAAGATCGAGCGCGAGTTCATCGGACGGGGTCGACTTGATCGGGGGAAACTCGGCTCTTCCTTCCGGGGAGAGACAAAAATTGCAAGCTGAGCGAAGCTCGACTCTTCCTCCTCTCGAGAGGAGCTGAAATCTTGCTCAACCCTTCGCACTCGAGGATTATTTCCACATTTCCTCCCGCCTACTCGATAATCATAAATATAACTTCTAAATTCCTAGAAAAACTACAAAAAAAGGATCTTCATTTCTTCCAATGTTGTCGCCGCATTTTGTTGCTTTGTTGCTCTCTTCAAATCTTTTTCACGCCAGCACACCTGGCTTTCCGAGCCGCCGGAATAAACGTTCGTGCCAGCGCAGCTGGCACTCCGAGCCGCCGGGATGAACGTTCATGCCAGCTGTGCTGGCATCCCGAGTGCAAAGGGTTAAGTTCGAGCGATGACGGCGGCCGACCGAGGGGGAAGTTACTTTCTTACAGTCATCGAGAAAGTTGTCTTCTTTCCACCGAATGCGGGGGATATTCTTCCTCAATCATCTGCGTGCGTCCGCGCTCGCAAAGTAACAATGAAAGTAACGAGTGCACTCCCGGCCGTTACGCAAGACACAATCGCATTTCTTCATTAACGAGAAGAGAGCCGAAACGCGCGATGCGTTACTCGCAACCCCCCCGCCCCCCGCCCCCGACGGACGAGTCTCATGTGCGTTCCCTGATTATCCGCAGCGTCCACGGAGTCGACCAAGGCGTTGCAGGCCGTGACGTCCGTGACGGGCGCGCTGGTACCGGAGGCACCCTTGGTCACCACCCTGCACTACTACCCGCACGCGCCCGCCCTGGTGCAGATCAGTCAACCCGAGCCTACGCATTGCAGGTCGCAGGTAGCTAAGGTCCTTTTTCGCCCGGCGCTTCGAGTACGCACGCACGCACGCACGCACGCACGCACGCACGCACGCACGTACGCACGCACGCACGCACGCCGCGACGCGAATATTACGCGGCCGCTCGGCGCAATATCTATGCAGATAGCGATGCAAATCGGGTTTGCTCATGATTAATACAATGTGCCACAACGTTTCCACATTATGCGAATGGCCGGACCGCGCCCGGAGCTTGACGTAATTACCACTACACTCTGCCCCGCCCCACCCCTCCCGTCGCTCCCTCACCTCCTCCCCTCCCCCCCTCTCTCTCTCTCTCTCTGTATGTGTGTATGTGTGTATCTCTCTCACTCCCTCTCTTCCCTTGTCTTACCTTCTCCTCTCCGGCTATCTTTCTCTTTCAGCTCGTTTTTTCTCGCACGTCCGGCGCCCGGTATCCGTATCGCTATCGGTGTCAGCGATTTGGCGAAGATCGCGCGCTTAAGGATGCGGACAAGTCTGCGAAAGAAATGTCTTTGTACGTCTCGTAGCCGCTCGCTGTGCTCCGCACGCTGAAGACTTCCGGTTGAAACACACAAGAGAATGCGAATGCGAATCGGTTGCGATCGGTTTCAAAGCTTGCGCGGGATGCGGAGAAATATTTCAATTGATTCGCGGGTTGGCGGCGCGCGTCCATCTTGAATTGGTTCCCGGAGTTTCGCGAGGTAACTCCAGGTAACTTCTTCTCCCTGAGGAAGAAGAAGAAGAAGAAGTGACCTGGTATGTTGACGAAACAAATCCAAGATGGGCGGCCAAAGCCCGGAAGTGAAATGAAAGCAATCAGTTGTTATCGAGTTGTTCCCGAAGAGGTTCCCGCGAGGTCGCACGCGACTTGGGGAAACGCACCGAAACGTGTCGAAACTTCTTCCCTTTTTTATCTTTCCCAAGGCCACGTCGCCGGTCTCGTGCCTGACCCCTCCGCCGGAAGTGCCGACGATTCACGCGATCGAGCCGCCGTCGTACGGCGTGCAGGACGCCTCGAATCAGACCGACACCCCGGAGGACGCCGAGGAACAGCCCCCGATCGTGAAGCAGGAGCAGAATCTGAGTCCTTGCCAGGTCGCGCAGTCGGGCGCGAACATGACCACCGCGAACTTCGAGATCGTGGCGTCGCCGGAGAGGATCTGCAACGTGGTAAGGATCACGACGACCACAACCACGGTGAATCCGATCTGCGGCATCGTCACCAAGGTGGACAAGGCGGAGAACACAATCATCAACATGGCCGACTGCGCCAAGTACTCGGCCAAGGACTGCAGGAACGTCAACAAGACGATCGAGCACGAGAGGGTCGACGAGGAGGCCGGCAAAGAGGACAAGGTGGTTTGCAGAGAGGGCAGGATCGGCGCCAGGATCATCGAGATCACCGAGGAGAACTGTGATAGTTTCCACGAGAACCTCGAGTTCTTCGCGAGGAGGAGAGACGTCGGCGCGGACCAGCGCGACCGTCGCGACAGTTACTCGTCGAAGGACGACGAGAACGTCGGGAAGGACGTCGGTGTTCAGGACAAGGCGGAGGTAAAGAGAGCTAACCCCGATTGAACCTCGCGGCTGACTAATTACAACCACAGGGTTGTAAACAGGGCGTCTAACTTTGCTGAAGCCGCTAATGCAACGTTCATTCTCGTAGCGTCCGTATAAATAAGTTAGCTAAGAAGAACTCGGCGTTAATTCATTGCTGAAGACTAGTCGTAGTCGCCACCGATGTAACGCTCACTTTCGTTCCTTAGAGATTTTTATAAAGTTATTGTTCGCGAGGCAATCTCAAGTTTCGACTTTTTCCAAAATCCGGTTCCAAAATGTTAATGCCGTAACGATGGCTGGATTACGTCTTGCCCGAGGCGGAGGCAGCGCCATCTACTCCGTCACACGCGATCGTTCAGTGGACACCGTTCACCGTTCACAAAACTGCGTGATTCACTGCCTCGAACCAATGAGCAGTAATCACCTAATAACGAGCTATATTATAACGAGTTAGCCTCAACTAATTAGCTACGCGAGCTTTTGAATATGAAGTCATCCGGTTACACTCGTCGTGGTCTCGGAGTCTTGGAGTCAACGTAAAGAAAGAGAGTTACTAAGAGTGGACGTAAGAAGAATGGGAAGAAGTTCTTCTCACGACAACTCAAAGTGCAGCAGGCTCTCTCTTCGGAGGGCGTCCTAGCCTCGTCTTGTCTTGTCATGAGTCATCTGCGTCTCGCTTTTCAGATCAAGGACATTCCGGAGAGCGTCGAAGGCCAGCGTCAAACGAATCAGGCTAGGAGCGCGGAGCCGCGGATCTTCGACGAGCAGAAGCCGAACGTCGACTCGACGGAGCCGTCGAGCGCCAATTGCGAGAGCTGCGACAAGAACCGGGTCGCCGCCTGCTCGGTCGGCGAGGCTCGGCCTCACATCACGGTCAAGTCCTTCGACATGCCCAACATCGACTGCGACGAGCAAGAGGCGCACGAGCAAGTGGTCATCAAGCAGGAGGCCGACGACAGCTGCTACGAGGTTTGCTACGAGTCCCAGTGCGAGCCGACGTCCACCAGCGAGAGACTCCGGCCGCAGGAAGCGGCCAAGCGGCACTCGCTGGAGAAGTCTCACCCGGGCATCGAGAACGTTGTAGAGAAGCTGAAGAAGAACGCGGCGGCTCTGCAGGAAGCCACGCCGCCGACTCTGAAGGCCGACGAGTCCGCGGAACGGTCGACGGACAACGTAAAGTCGCGGAGGCACTCGGAGACGATCCCGAAGAAGCTGCACATCCTGCGGTCGTGCGCGAGCTCCTTGGAGGCCGTCGACGCTGAGGTGTCCTCCTCGCAGATATCATCGGACCAGTGCCCTCAAGCCCGGTCAGGACGATATTCGCCTCAGATGGAGGACGACAAGCACTCGTTGGCCAGCAAGTGCGACTCATCCAAGGAGTGCTTGCTCAGCGATAACAACAACGACAGCCGGAGCAGTAACAACAACATCAAGGCGCTCGCGGATAAGAGACTGCTCGTCAAGAGCGAGAAGACCCTCTTCGATATGACCGGTCATATCAAGCCTAAGACTATCTGGAGCTGCGAGATGACGGTCGTAGAGCAGCACCACCCGACTCGCAAGCCCGACCACGTCTCCGAGGACGCGCCTACCGAGGCGAGGTCCCGAGTGACCAAGCAAAAACCGACCGTCGATGTGAGCGGGCTCGAGCTCTTGTCGAACAGCATCGAGCAGCTGGAGCTGGGAATCGGTCAGCTCAAACAGCCGCAGCTGGACGCGAGCGTGGACGAGCTGCCGGTCAAGAGCAAGCCGCTGGGCCAGCAGAGCGAGAGCAACAACAATAATAGCAACAACAATAACAACAAAGTCAACAATCCGCTCGTGCTGCTCTGCGCGCTCGCCGAACAGAAGTTACAGAATATGGAGGAGGTGAGCGACGAGGTATCCGAGAAGCTGAGTTTAGAGAGTTCGGAGGAGATCTCGCACGCCGGCAGGCTGCTGCTGAATCTAGGCAGAGCCGCTCACCTCGAGAAGGACTGCAAGAGGAAGTATCCTGAGACCGACGACCACCATTCCAAGCGATTCAAGTTCGACGATCACAAGGACGAGGAGAAGGAGGAAGTTGACAAAAGAACATCAACCTCGGGCTACTACGAGGAAGATGCGGCAAACGGAACGATCGGAGCAGCCGACAGGCTGCAGGAAGAGGCTCTTTTGAAGCTGGAGGAGAATACCCAAGAGGTTGTCAACTTTGCAACGGAGGACACTGATAACGACGTCGAAGAAGAAGAGGAGGAAGAGGAGGAAGAAGAGGAGGAAGAGGAGGAAGCTTCCGGTGCGATAAGGGGGCCTCTCCACGGGGACATGCAAAGTTGTTACGCTACCAAACCTGACCCGGAAGACGAAGGTCTTCAAGCGATCTCATGCGACAGCGAGAGGTCGCGAGGATACGACGAGAGGAACGTCGCAGAGGACAAGTCGCCGGAGGATGCGAACGACGAGGTATTCGAGGAGAACAGCCTTTCTGAGCAATTATGCACCAACAACGAAGCGAAGAGCAAGAGACGGGCGTCTGGCGAAGAGAAGGACTACAAGAATACACGCGCCAAGCTGGAGGCGAAGAAGTTCGCGGGCAGGAAGGACAATCGTGGCGACAACGACAACGACTGGCCGAACATGAACGCCATGGAGCTGGACATGAGGGTGAAGATGGCCAGCTTGCAGAGGCAATACAGGGAGAAGCAGCTGGAACTGTCCAAACTGATTCCCAAGAAAGAGGACAAGAAGTGTCCCGGCAGACCGCGCAAGAAGAGCCACTCCTCCAGGTGAGTGCGAACCCAATTGACTGATTATCATTATTATTGTTATTATTGTTGCTAATAACGAGTAACGAACGGTGTGTAAAATTTCACGCGCGTTCTCAGGTGAATATCCCAATTCGCGACAACTGCGACAGGCTAACGTAATAAACGGTTTTACTTTAAATTTATTTACTTTATGTCAAATGGCGACAATTGAGGCAATCATTCGTCGACATCTTGCAAATTGATGGTCGATAAATAAATGTCGAAATTCGTTTAACTCGTTCGAGAGCAAGCTATCGACGAGAAAACTAAAACTAAACTGTCATTTCCTGAGGAGATACCTCATGAATAAATCAATCTTTCCACAAGTTTGAAACATGTAACACAATAAAAAGCCCGAAATAGCTTCAGCTCGACCTCGCGCGCTGAGCTTAAGACGTATACTCATTAATTTATCAATTCGCTTTCATTATTACCCGTCCATTAATTGGGAGACATTCACGATTGAGCCGCTTGATTATCGGTGCTTTCAGTTCCGAGCAAGGTGCACTGTCGTCGCCGCCCGCGCTGGATATCTTCAATTCTCCGGAAATGTCACCGCCGAGGCCACCACCTAACTCACCCAACGACGCGCCCCCGCCCTTAGCCTCGGCCGTGCTGGCCATGCCGAGGTGCAACGTGAACCTCGTGAAGCTCGGCGAGCCCCGAAGCCACATCAAGCTTTTGGACAGCATACCCAGCATCTCGCTGTCGGTGCCGCCGGTGGCGTCTTCGCCGGTCACGGTCTCCTCGGTCATCAAGCCGGAGGACGACGACAAGATCACGGGCAGGGTACGTGGGCGGCTCTCCTCGCCACGGCCATCTTGACTTGCGACGTCGCAAGACGGGAAAATGCACGCTTAAAATTCACCTTCAGTGCAAGGTCACCGATTTTCTGATCACGTCCTATAGGATTCTTTTCAAGACGCTGACGTGAAAGCCATCCTTGTGACAAATTTATTTACTTTACTTTGAGTCATCGATAAATAATCGATAGATGAATATCGCGTGCCGTTAAAAGATTCCAAGGGCTTGGTCGTACAAAAAATGTTGAGGTCGTTGAGGCCGTCTCTACGTCGAAATGAAGAAACGTAGCCAAGAAGTGACGCTTGCGATCAGCTAAGCGTCAGCTATAAAATATTCCCGGCACCTTCCTCTCGATCTGACAATTGATAAGTTACATACAAGTTAAAATTGATGATAGAATCATGAGAAGAGGAGACAGGTCGGAGAGATGACTCGCATGATTTTACGATCATCGATTGTTAGAGCGAGAGGAAGGTCTAGGGAATTTTTCACAAGTGCGCTCAATTGATGACGAGAGTATCATCTTTTTTGAATATACTCCTTTGCACCAACCGTACCTCGCAGGAATTTTGAACCTGCATTTTCCCGCTTCTTCTCTCGTAAGTCAAGGTGGCCGCGGCGAGTACCCGGGAGCCCCAATAAAGCGCGCTCGTCAGCACGTTGGTTTACCGAAGTTTACCGATCCTTCCGACACGCTCGAGTCTGAGTCGTCAGAGCCGCGGCAGATAAATGCGAATCGCGACACACTTCTTCCTCAGAGTCGTTGCGATGGCTCCCTGTTGGCCACGCGTTCAATCTGTTACACGCAGCTGGTGGGCTTTCTGTGTAAATTAATGAGAGAGCACAGCGTCGGTCGCCGGCCACTATCGGTCGGCGGTCAACGTGTCGACACTGGTCTCTCTCTCTCTCTCTCTCACGAGAGAGACCAGAGTCGCACAGTGTTTCTTCCTACGTGGCCACAAGTAACAAGTAACGCAAGTCCGTTTTGCGGACGCGAACGCGAGAAGACCGCGCTTGAATCCAAAGTCGCCCGCTGCAGCTCTCGTTGCGCGGCATCAACAATCACGCGAGATGCATCAGGAACTGAGTGTCTGCTGATATGGTGCGTCGTCCGATATCGAATGCGTCGGTGAAAGAAAGTAGAGCTTGCCGGCGAGCTTCCGAGCCGATAAACGTTATACCGAATAAAAAACGCGCTCGCAACAAAGGCGCAGACACGAGGAACAAAACAAGAAGCGTAAGACGCGCGGTGTAAACACAGCCGAGAGAGACGCCGCGCCGGTAATGAGCGATATGACAAGTGTTATTTTTCGACCCGCCTGTGACATTTCCACCTCCCGCCGCCTGATATTTTCGGTTCTTGTTCTTCGCCAGTTGGGCTACGAGACGTCGTCGCCGGCGCCTACCATCGCGAGCTCGAGCTCCGCGTCCAAGAAGAGGAAGGTGGGTCGGCCGAAGAAGTTTATGTGCAGCTCGGGCGGCACGAGACACTTGACGGAAACGATCGTCGCGAAGAAGCCCAAGAGCAAGAGCTCGCTGGTGGGCTACGTGCTGTCGTCGAAGAACAGACACCTGCAGACGAAGGTCAGTGGTCGGGCGCGTGGTCTTGTTTTGCCTTTCGTTTACCGTCGCCCTGCCCCGTCTCGAACGCGAGAGATCTCACAACGCGACCGTTCTCTCTCTCTCTCTCGCCCGCAGCAGTACATCAGCAAGACCGGCTACACGCCGTTGCCGTTCAAGTCCGGCCTGATACCGCTCAAGTCGCAGTCCAAGGCGCAGAAGATCGCGAAAACGCGCACGAGGCAAGCGGCGAAGCCGGCCAAGCAGACTCCCTTGCACAACAAGAGCGTCATCAGCTCCATCATCGCGGAGAAGGCGAAGCTGAGCCAAGAGGTCAAGCTCGAGAAGAACAGCGTCGTGAAGGTGAAGCCGAAACTCAGGGCGGAGGTGGTGCTGAGGAAATGGGAGGACGACGAGACGGACACGACGTTGCCTAAGGAGCCCGTCGTCGAAGGAACAACCATCCAGGTGATTCGACTCGGCTTCTTGGAATTCTCGTCGATTGCTCTCGCGACGACGTATTTTGTCAGCGAGATCGACGGAAAAAGATCGACGCAATAACGACGATAATTGATTGTTCGATAATGACTAATCGTGTAATAAGTACTATCGTATTCATTATGTCGATTGTTGTTTTATCATCTGCCAAAAAATGACATTCCTCGCGCACGTCTCGACAGGCGTTAGCGGACTCGTCGTCGAAGAGGGAGCTCCGGCACGAGAGGTCGAAGAAGAAGAGGCGAAAGTCCAGCGCGTCCTCGTCGACCAATCATGACAGGAAGAAATCGAAGCGACGCATCACGATCGACTGCCAGACCTGCTGCTTGGAAGACACGGCGCTGAATCCGTGCAAACTGACGGCTACGCATCTGGCCACCGACCAGCTGCGGGTTCTTCAGATGAGAGGCGGCCTGTTCTACGCGGGTAGACTCAGCGCAGTGCAGCCACCCGACGTTTACTCCATCACGTTAGACGGCGAGCGCGGAAACAAGCCGCAGTTCTACTCTACCGAGCAGATCCTGAAGGACACGGTAAAGACCCCCCTTCCCCCACCCCGCTCGCCCTCAACTCGAAAACACGCCGATTGCGCGCGCCTGGCGCACCTTGCTGCACCTGATCTGCTTTCCGCTCTCATCGTCGATGCGGTGGACATGCGTCACTCGGGGGATACAAAAGATTTAGAAAGCAGTTTCGAAAAATGCCGAGGAGATGTTAGTGAATTAGCAGTAGTGAGAGTAGAAATTATTTTTATTTTAATTATCATCATCGTCGTGATAATAATTAAATCAACTTGTATCGTACAACAATAACTACTATTAGTTGGGGGGGGGGAGTTTTTCTGGAAATCTTGCCGGTATTCGAGTTTCGAGGTTACGGCTCCTCCGGAGGAGACGACTCTCGAGGTCTTCATCTCTCGGAAAGAGAGTGCATGTCCGCCGCTAACTCAGCTCGAGAGGCGAAAGAACGCGCGCAAGGATGTTGTGGCTCACACGGGACCGCGTCTGATCCCGCAGATCGTAGAGGTGTTCCCGAGCTCGACCAAGGAGCTGAGCCCCGGCACGCGACTGTGCGCGTACTGGAGCGAGCAGTACAGATGCTTATACCCGGGGACCGCCGTGGAGCCGATAGAACCCAACACTGACCACGACGACAAGTACGTAAGCGTGGAATTCGACGACGGAGACAGCGGCAGGATCGACCTGAGCAACATACGGCTGCTGCCTGGCGGTTACCCCGTCATAGGCACGTATCAAGTCGCGCGTTATCGAGAGATCTACCTCTGACAGTCGCACGGCGATAAATCACACCCTTGTTCACAGAATACGACCCGAACCCGCTGCTCACGTTGGGCAAACGACGGCGTCAGAGGTCGTCGTCCGGCGAGAAGCTACGCTCGGCCTCCAGCGACCAGGTCGGAGCGACCTTGTCGAGCGACATGGCCTTCCCCGCGGCCTACTACTCTGACCGGCAAATGAGCGAGCCGCAGAAAGCGAGCGAGCTCGAGGCGGAGGTGTTGGACGCGTACCGCGAGAGGAAGCGCACGAAGAAGAGGAAGAGGAAGCTCAAGAGGCTGGAGGAGGGCAAGAAGAAGCACAGGAAGCACAAGTCCTCCGAGGAGCACCGCAAGCACAGACACAGGAAACACCGGAAGCACAAGCACAAGCACCACGGCAGCCACAGCGAGGCGAGCTACGTGAGGTTCGTGTCGCTTTCATCACGCGCTTCTTCCTCGAACGACATATCGGCTGGGAAAATTTAGCGGGATCAATTCTCGCAGTCGTAAAATTTGAGAAACTGCGATTGGTGCAATTTGCGAATTTTCGCAACGCGGTCGAAGAACGCAGTCACTGTCCCTGATTTGCGCGCAAAACGTCTAGCCCCTTCCCCCTTCCGCCCTCCTTAACCGCGCATAACAAATTGAAAAGCAAGCACTATCGAGAGAGAGAGAAAGAGAGAGAGAGAGAGAGAGAGAAGAGAGAGAAGAGAAAAAAAGAAGAGAGAGAGAGAAGAGAGAGAGAGAGAGAGAGAGAGAGAGAGAGAGAGAGAGAGAGAGAGAGAGAGAGAGAGAGAGAGAGAGAGAGGAGAGAGAGAGAGAGAGAGAGAGAGAGAGAGAGAGGAGAGAGAGAGAGAGAGAGAGAGAGAGAGAGAGAGAGAGAGAGAGAGAGAGAGAGAGAGAGAGAGAGAGAGAGAGAGAGAGAGAGAGAGAGAGAGAGAGAGAGAGAGAGAGAGAGAGAGAGAGAGAGAGAGAGAGAGAGAGAGAGAGAGAGAGCGTGTAGAACAAATTACGACGCAATCGACTGCGTGTGATAAATTTAAACGCGAGCCCACCCCACCACCCCGCTGCACTCGCCACCCCAAATTGAGTATCGCAAATTAAAGTGTAACCAGCTGCGTGTAACAAATTAAATTAGCCGGCGGAGAGCCGACGGCACGAGCTCTAACGCGTGCACGCGAATCGCGAATTGCATTTATTTATCGTCTATTTGTTCAACGTTCATGTACGCGTTTTCATATTTGCCGTATCTTTGACGATTCAAGCTCGAGCAGAGTCGCGGGCTGAAATGAACGGTACGCGGCAGCGGCAACGAACGGTCAGCTGAATGTTAACTCGGACCGCTGACGAAAATTTACAGCGAATCGTTATCGTCATCGCCACAACAAGTTACTTTGTTACCGGACAACGTAGACTCGACTTTACGGACCTTGATAACGCGGACCTCATTTTCATTAACAACGCAGGCGAAATTATTCTTTACGGATAACGGGTAGCGAGTTAACGATCGTTGCTCCACGCGCGTATCGTGAAAATGCGGAACCGACGATAAAGAGTCCTGTGATGAAAAATAACAAACATCGCGACGACTCCCTGAGTAACGAGTAACCGTAGCGAGTTACTCTTAAACGTTAAAACTTTCCAATTTTCTGCACGTCCTACCGACCGACCTCAGTCTTGGCTTTCTGTCGGCAGCGGGGAGAGCAGCTCGGCCGAGCAGAGGAGCGAGGAGGAGGCTGCCAAGGACTTGGCGAGTACAACTACCGGGAACTACGTCAGCGAGAGAACGTCGTCCGAAGTGGTGCGCGGCAACTTGCCCCAAGTGATAAGTCTCGAGGACCTGCTGCCAACGGAGATGGCGTTCGTCAGACGGTCGTCCAACAGCATGGAAACCGAGGAGCAACCGAACGAAGGCGACGAAGAGCAGATGACCGAAGAGCCGGAGGAGCAATCGTCGCAGAAGTACACAGAGAGCGAGAAACAGTTGTCCCCGATGCGGCAGACTCTGATTGAGAGATCATCCTTGGGGCTAATGAGTACAGACCGGCCGTCCTTGGGGGAAACGAGTATAGGCCGGCCATCTTTGGGACAAACGAGTACGGACCGACCGTCCTCGGGGCAAACGAGTACAGACCGATCGTCCTCGGGGCAAACGAGCACAGACCGATCGTCCTCGGGGCAAACGAGCACAGACCGATCGTCCTCGGGGCAAACGAGCACAGACCGATCGTCCTCGGGGCAAACGAGCACAGACCGATCGTCCTCGGGGCAAACGAGTACAGACCGATCGTCCTCGGGGCAAACGAGTACAGACCGATCGTCCTCGGGACAAACGAGTACAGACCGATCGTCCTCGAGGCAAATGAGTGTAGAACGATCGTCCTCGGGGCAGATGAGTATAGAACGAACGCCCTCGGTTCACACGAGTATAGAACAATCGTTCTCGTTGGATCAATCGTCCTCGGGGGAAAAGAGCACCGGAGAATTCTCCACGGAGGTAGAGTCTGAGAAACAGTCCTTCCAGGAGATGGAATCCGAGGAGCTATCTTCGTTCCACGAGATGGACGAGCAGTTCGACGGACAATCGCTCCAAGAGGAGGAGGAACAACCTGAGGAGCAACCAGTGTCACAGTCACAGCTACCAGCTATACCTCAGCGAGCAACGGTCGAAGTACAGTCGTCCCAGAAGGCGGTGGAACCCGAAGAGCAGCCGGTCGCGGACATAGAGTCCGAGGAACCGGCGTCCACCGTGGAGTCGTCGGAATCGTGGGAGCCCGCCTACGAGAAGCGGAAGAAGCAGAAGCGAGTGAAGAGACAAACGAAATTGTCGCGCGAGAAGTCCGTCGAGAGCCGCAGTAAGATGGCTCCGTTCTTACCCGAGAAACAACTATGGAGCTGGGCGGACGACTCCTACAGACGCGTCGGGGCTAAGGGCAGGTTCAAGAAACAATTCCACCGCGCGATTGGTCGTAGGGACGAGACGATCGAGGTCGGCGAAAGCGCAGTGTTCTTGTCGACCAGCAGCGCCGACAGACCTTACATCGGTCAGATCATGTCCATGTGGGAGACCTCCAACGCCAACATGATCGTCAAGATCAAGTGGTACTATCACCCCGAGGAGAGGAAGGGCTCGCCGGAAAATCTCAAATATCCGGTAACTCTTTCTTTCTATTAAAGTAATGCTTTTAGCGACAGATGTTGGGAGAAGGGTACTAGCAAGTTATCTTTGTGTGTGTGTGTGTGTGTGTGTTTGAGCTCGAGGAGAAAGATGTACGTTACAAAGGGAAGATATATTTGCGAGGTTCCCTTTAAAATATTAAATTTCCTTTGATCAATTATCCTTCCTATTTAATAGCGTGCTCCTCTTCAACTGCTTTTCATAATATTTAAAGTTGATTTTTGGACATTGTCAATGTAATGACTCGATTCGAACGGGGTTGAACAGAATTTAAAAAAGCAGCTGAAGAGAGATGCATAGTTTTAAACAAAGGAGGATTTATGCGTTTTCGATTTTTATATTTTCTCCAAGATAAGGTTACGTATTATTCTACTTCTGGCTTGTCCAAACGTACATCTTTCCTTGAGCAGAGATGAGCGATTGATGAATCGCGAAGCCAATTTCTTCTTTTACCAACGAATAATCACATTCTTAATATTTCATTTTAATTGAGCAATATTACTAATTGAGTAATATTACTTCAAATTGAAATGGTCCTTTAACCTATACTTGAGCCGTATCGTTTAGAAAATAAAAACTGTCTTACCAGTTGAATCACCAGTTTGAAAGAGAAACGGGAAGCTGGCTCGTTATATCGTATGCCATTCGAAAATAGAAGTCTAATTACTTACTGATTAGTCCTAAATAAAAGCGGCGGGTAGAAATTAGCCAATGACCATCTAGTTCCATCTAGCGGTATTGCAAATAAATGTTGCAGCGGGTTCGGGCCTCGGCTAAAACGGGTTTGGGTCTTGGCTGAATCACTTTTAACTTCAAAGCCCGCGTTGCTATTCAAACGCCACCGTCCTTAATGAGAATGTAATATGACTCAACGATTGATCAGACGGATTTCTTATTTCTCTTTCTTTAATCACTTCAAGATGACAAATTGAAGGACTTTTCAACTAATATGACTCGATCAATATACAGACCGATACATGACTCTGACTTCAACAAACAGATCTGTAAGCTGTAATCTGTCGTTAAAAAGATCTACACGTTAAATCATTATTGCGAAAGTATTCCAATATGACCCCATCGATTTGCCGATTATAATCCCACCCGATCGGTTCAATCAGAAGCTGACCAAAAACTTTTGGGAAATGCACGCTTCAGCTCAAACTCGAGTAAACAAAATGGTCATCGTCTTATGCAGGGTGGCTTGTTCGAGTCGAACCACCTGGACGAGAACGACGTGCAAACGATCTCCCACAAGTGCGAGGTCCTGCCGCTCGAGGACTACATCAAGAGGCTAGGCAAGGAGCCGGATCAAACCGTCTACGAGAACAAGGATGTCTACTATCTGGCCGGATCGTACGACCCCACGACATGCCTGACCAGTCCGAAGCCCGGGGTTGTCTGAGAAAAGCTTAAGCTGACGATTAGGTTAACCGGAGTGACTTAATCGTGGTCAGCCAACAATTCTGCGAAATTTCGACAACGTGACAACCGCCGCTCCCCCAAGAGCGGCGGGTACAACGTTCTTCATACGTCTTCCGGAGGAAGATCAGTCTCGAGGCTTATGCTGTAGGGACACGTAGGCGACATGTCGCGCTTGCATTTTGAAGCTTACGAGACGAGAGCAGCGTGTAACGGCGCGACGAGCCACTCTCTCTCGCGCGTTTCACGTGTCTCTATTGCGAGATTGCTAGATCGCAGTAATCGGAGATCCACAAGGCACAAGCATTACTTCATTCGCGTGACGCTTGCTGAAGCGCCGGTCCGAGCTCGAGGACGGCGCGCGCTTTTATCGCGCGCGGTCGCGCGTCTCCGTACAATTAGAGACTCTCACCCTGCACAGGCTCGGGAACACGCCCTACACTTTTCACCGATTGACATTGACGCATCATTTTACCGCACATTGTACACTTTTTACGTACGTACGATGTTGGCATTGGATCGAGTGTCCCTTTTCGCGATACCGTGTGCGAGAAGTGACCAAATATTCCAGATCGGCGGGATTAATGTAACAAAGATATAGAGTATATATACTTCACTTGTATCATATATATATATATATGTGTGTGTGTGTGTGTGTGGGTGTGTATATATATATACATACATGTGCACACATGTACATACACGTGTGTGTATGTGTGTGTATATCGCTAAAAGCACGCGACAAGTTCGAGAAAGCGGCGTAGTGGATTAACAAACTTCGTAGCCTGCAACTTTTCGACCTCGACAACAGGCAATACTTGTGCCTTGTTTACAAAATTCTCCCCCCTCCCCCCGGTCCGATTATCGTTCCAATTTCCAGATTCTAATTACGCTTACGATTCGCGCGTAGGACAGAGAAGAGATAGACGATGAGTAAAAGAGGGGCAGAACAAGAAAGAGAGAGGGAGAGAGAGATAAAGAGAGAGAGAGAGAGAGAGAGAGAGAGAGAGAGAGAGAGAAATGGAACGATGCAATAATCACACCAAGTGGCATTAAACGAGGAAGTGATCGCGATAAGATTAATATCTGCTGTACATACGTTGTAAATAGGACTTCCTTAGTGTGTGTCTAATATTCGACTACACAACGCACACACGTATACACGTATACACGCATGCACGTGCGCGTCTCGTTGCGCGACGAGTCGCATCGCAAAAGCGCTGGGGCTCGAGTTTATACAGCTTAAGTCTTAAGTAAGTTAATGGCCTGATTGTAGTGATGTTTCAATGTTCGCGCGATGACAAACAAAACGCAGAGAAGAGCGAAAAGAGCGAGCGAGCGAGCAAGAGAGAAAGAGAAAGAGAAAGGGAGAGGGAGAGAGTATACTATTTTCATGTTCGGATAATCCATTTTCTAACTATTATTAACGTACACGCAGTCGATAAACGATAACGTTAGCTTTATTAGAACGAGACGAAGACGACGACGACGACGACGCCCGAGCGCGACCGACGTCGACGGAGATTCGCGCGCTCCGAGGACTTTGCCGGATCCTCATCCTCGCGACGACGACGGCGTTCACTTAGCCGCGCGGTTTTACCCCCGCGTTAATCGATACTTCCGCGCGTTTATGTAATAGAGATATTTGCATACCTCGCGACGCGGCCGCTACCACGGACTATCGCGGATGTAACGAGCGACGAACATCTTCTAATTCCATTAGCGCTCGCGAGAAAATCAATTATTTAAATAACGAGACGGGCGGGCGGGCGCGCACGCGCGCGGCGGAAGCGAACGTATTAACACCGTCGAACTAATATTCGCGGGGAAACGCGGCGGGACGTTTTTTTTTTCGATGGAGCTTAACGAGGTATCGCCGGGACGGCCAAGAATTTCACGGCGCGTCGGGAGGTGACAGCCGCGACCGACCGCGAGCTCGCTCGTCATCGAAGCGCACGCGGCGAGAAGACGACGAGAGGACGGACTCGGCCGACGCGACGTGACGCGCGACGTCGATGTCGATTCGTCAGAATTAGAGCTTAAACAATTTGACGCAAGCCTCGGGCCTAAGAACACAGGTCGACGTGTGTGTGTGTGTGTGTGTCTGTGCGTGTGTGTGGATGTGTGAGTGTGCGCGTGTGCGAGAGAGAGAGAGAGAGAAAAATGTACTTAGGGTACTTAAGACACGCTTCCTCGTGCTGTTTTGCTTGTTTCGTTGCGTCCGTTTTAGCGCAAACGCATTATTAATTTGTTACTTCGTTCGCATTAATTCGTTAACCCCGGCATTGATTCGGTATCTTGGATGTTAATTAATTATTTCGTTACTTCGGACATTAATTCGTTAACTCGGGCATCGCTTCGTTAAGCTCGAGCATCAATTCGTTGACTCGTTCCCCTCCTCCGCCCCCCCCCGCCCCCGACGCTTCGTTTCCCGCGGCGACACTCTCGGACGGGCGTTTTCTCGATGCGAGACGGAGTAGAAACGCGCGCGTCATCTTTCTCCTTTTAGCGAAAGAATCGCGATACCGCGCGGCGAAATCGCGCGGGGCAGTTTTCACCCCGGGTGAATTTTCACCGCGCGTCCGTTAAGCCATGTGAGGGAGAATTCATATTCCGCCAATCACCGGGGGGCGAATTCTCCCATCGGGCAAATCCCGAGAACGTCGCCATCTTCCCGCGGACATGTCCCGTACGACCTTGAAGACTCCTGCCTTCATGGCTGCTCGCCGCCGCGGCCATGTTGGCTAGCGGCCGCGAGGGGCGAGAAATGACGCGCTGAAGATTCGCGCATGCCGTTCGGCATGCACAGTCAGTTAGTAATTAAGAGACGACTAATAAGTGGTCATGCGCATGCGCGATCTTTCCGTTACGATCAAACTTACATCACGGTCACTTAACGGCTGTTGATTGAGTTTCATTCGACAAGAGTGCTCCTCAAATATTCTTTCATGCATGGAAGAGGAATACGTTTGGCCGAACGATGAGCAATCTTCCGGTGCAACATGGACGGAGAAATTCCGCTTCAAATTTCAGTCTGATTAATCAGACTACAGTCTGAATGATTAACTCAAATGGAAGCCAGGCCTGTTAGATCGCACTTGCCGACTCACCGAAAAATTCGCTCATCCGTCGAAACACTTTTTTCTCCACGCGCGAGCGTCTCTTCCCCCGGAAAATAGCACGCAACAATCTTCAGCCTCACTTCTCCGCTCGCGGCGAAGGAGCGCAGGAGCTTCAACGCTCATCTCTCGTTCTCATCCCGCGTTCCGGCCGAAGAATCGTGCACGACAGCGAAATCGCGAGGTCGTTACAAGTCCCAGAAGAATCCTAGAACATTGTCCAAACCGGCCGGCTGCGATCACGATCGCGCACGCGCACCGTTCACGAAGACGCGAGAAGAGCCTGAGGACTGCCGGCTGATTCTTTCGCGTCCAGCCGCGCGCGGCAAACCCCTCGAATTAGCTCGAAGAGATCGCTTGTTCTTTCCTTCCTCAGCAGCCGCCCCTTCTTTTCTTCCCCTCATTCTCGTCCTTCTCGTCCCCAACGACCGCGCCGGTTCCATCCGCACGCGCGCGTTCACCACCCGCCAGCACCCCGCGCTCACGCAGGCTCCTGCAGCCCGCGAGAGCGTGAGTGTGCGCGCATAAAGGACCGGCGCGGCGGGGCGGGGCGGGAGCCAGGGGAGGCTCCGGGCGAATTGTTCGAATGCGCGCGCTGCGCGCGTTCGGATAGTTCGAGGCGGAAACATAACGAGCAGCTCCCGCGCGCTCGGTCTTTGTGTCGCCATAATTGCTGCTGCCTGCCATTCTCCACTTGCGCGCTTGCCAGTTATTTCCGAGATTAACCCCGCGCTGGAGAACACGAGCGAGTCAGCGCGGAGAGAGCACGAGTGAGAGAGGCGGTCGCGACACGGCGCGGCGCCTCGAGCGGAGTTCCTCGGCCACCTTCTCCGGCGCCGGCACTCCGGCCTTCGATCGAGCCGGGCCCCCCCCTCCCCGTAGCTTCGAGGCTGCTCTTCCGCTCCCTCCGTGGGAGTGACTTGTCGCGCGAGCGGAATACCGAGCGCTATTGTGTTTCCTTTTCCGAACTGTAATGACGACCGATCGATCCGCGGGGAGAAGAATCCTCAGGACGAGGTTCCTGAGTAGCGACTGCTGGAAGAGCAACGGTGTGGCGAATATCGGCTGCCCGAAGCGGTCCGACTCGATCGAAGCCCTCGAGGACGGTAGCAGAGGAAGAGAGAGAGAGAGGGAGAGTGGTGGCGTGGCATTTCTCTCGAATCTCCGCGTCGCTTAGGCGCGGACAACTTTTTCCGATCGTGCGCCGCTGTACCGTAACGACGTATACGGCGTATTGATCAATTAGCCGATCAATTAGCGCGCACGATCAATGCGCGCGCTGCGAAAATATTACGCGGCGGACTCGGCATGCGGATTTCGACGGATGCGACGGAGTCGGCGGACTCTCTGGTAGCATGGCGAAGGTACAAAACCGAGGACACAATAAATGCGCGCGACGAATGCTGACGACGACGACGACGACGACGACGACGACGACGACGACGACGACGACGACGATTGCGATCGTAATGATGCTAATGATGCTGGTGATTATGATTATAATTACAGTGACGACACTGATGATGATGATGATGATGATGATAAGGTGACGATG